CACACACACACACACACACACACACACATAAATGGCTGTGTGTGGGTATTCCAGCATAACTCTGGAACACCTCAACAGTTTCAACCAAACTTGGTACACAGATGGCTTACTCTCTGGAAACAAATACTTTTGAGGGTAAGACACCTCTACCACCCTTCGGTGTGTGTGTTCTGGTACGATACAGCCTGTTGTGCCTTCAACTGGCTTCTACTATACTGCCATAAAATGGCTTCTACTGTAACAATGCAGTGGAATTGCCCTGGTAATGGCTTCACAGTTCTCCACAATGGGGTTCCCAAGGGGGAAAATCCAACATTAGAAATAACATTTGGTCCAGACATTTCCCCCCTATAAATAAATGCTTGGGCAACACCGGGTTATCAGCTATATTTAATAACTGTTGAGAAGAATGATAGGAAGTGTGTGCAAAACATTTCTTTTGACCAGTTGAATATATATACTAAGCTTCCAGAAATGCTGAGTGAGAAAAATTTGGAATTGTAGTCCCAATGCCTCTTGATTGTTGCCTCTGGCTGAATACTTTCCTGTTGATGACAGCCTATACGGGGTATTAGCTCTTTGAATTTCTGTCTTCTTTCATTATAATAAGGCCACAAAAACCTCAGGCTTGAGACCTATGGAACGAAAAGATATCAAAGCAGTGCAGGAGTTGGTTAACAATTACTTGAAGCAATTCAATCTTGCTCCTGTTATGGACGAAGAAGAAGTGGCTCACTGGTTCCTGCCTCAGGATCATATTATTGACACCTTTGTGGTAGAGGTGAGAGAGAGGCCCCTCCCAGCTTCCTTTTCCTACCGAAACTCCTTCCATCTAGAAACCTTTCCTCAGCTGTTTTCTTTCTAATGAGCTTTCTGTGCTTGAACTGAGGGCATAACCAGACGCTTAATTTTTCCCCTCTCTTGCAAATGTTCCTCAGGCTATTTTTATTGGGGGTGGGGGGTAGAATGGAAATTGGAGACTTCCAACTTCTTGTTGTAGACTGTTGTTTCTAGTTACACTTTCTTTTCTTTTCATTCTGATGCCCATAATCCCTTCACACTGGAATGGGAGAGTGCATAAAACAAATATTTGTCAATGAAGAAATAGAACATTGGTTGGAACATCCGAGGGCTACCCCAGGTTCAGAAAGATTTGAGTTAAAAGTGTTCAACTAAAACTACATGGACTCAGGTTCCTTGCTCTGCCTCACCATTTTACATTGAATTTATCACAGCCTGTAATTTTGCAGACCAATGGGGTGAATTAAGAGTTATAATATTGTAGAGTCCTTTGTTTGAATTCCTTCATGTTTTTTTTTTCTTTTCCAGAATTCAAATGGTGTTTTAACTGACTTTCTGAGTTTCTATACATTACCTTCAACAGTCATGCACCACCCTGCTCATAAAAGCCTCAAGGCAGCCTATTCCTTCTATAATGTTCACACGGAAACCCCTCTCTTGGATCTAATGAATGATGCACTCATTATAGCAAAGATGGTAGGTAATGCAATAGTTCCTTTATTTTCATTTGTTTTTTTTATAGAAGAGTGAAGTTGGCTTAAAGCCTCACTAATTTACTTGCTTCAGCAAGAGCAGTACAACCTCTAAGCAGGTTATGATGATGTTTTCTCTGCCCCTTGGAACTTTTTGTTTCAGCCTAGTTCTCCATAGGAAAGTATTAAGTGGCGCAACCTCTGTGCTTATTCAAAACGCCTGTGCTTGCCTTACAGCCCCAGATGACTTTGGGGTTGCATGTGGCTTTTCCAAATCAAAGCTTTATATCTGGGCTACTTCGGTTACAAGAAATGAAAAGTCATAGTCAGATATGACTTCTATGATCTACTGTAGGAATGTAGCAGAAGAAAAAGGTTTGTCTGTGTTGTGTATGTATTGTGATATTACACAAGGTTACTAATGCTTTTAAGATTTTCAGGTTCTAAGTTGTAAACGTACAGAGTCCTGTGTTGGTTTGGTTGGCGTTTCTGAGCTTTAGTACGTATGCCGTTGCAATCTATATGTTCCTGGATTGTGTTGATGTTCAGTGTGTTGAGTAAACTCATTGCTAAAAAAATAAAAAATTGCTGATTTATTGAGTCTGTTGTTTGGAAGATACAGTAGTATTAGTGTAGTGTTTGGAATGTTCTTGGTTTTTGATTGTAGTTAACATTACTCATACAGCTGCTTCAGCTTCTTTTCCTTTGAAAATTACACCTACAAACAGCACAAATCTCCAGCCAAAAAAAAGTATGTTCAATTGGCTGATTTCATTCCTTGCTATAAGGTGTGAGGGAAATATCTTTTCTTTTTTTCCAAAAGGCATCCTCAATTCATTTTTCGTAGGTTAGAAGAATCAGCACCACACTTAACAGAAATAGCAATAGCATTTAGACTTACATACCGCTTCACAGTGCTTTACAGCCCTCCCTAAGTGGTTTAGAGTCAGCATATTGCCCCCAACAATCTGGGTCATTTTACCAATCTCGGAAGCACGGGAGGCTGAGTCAACCATGAACCTGGTGAGATTTGAACTGCCAAATTGCAGGCAGCTGGCAGTCAGCAGAGGTAGCCTGCAGTACTGCACTCTAACCGCTGTGCCATCACAGCTCTGATAGCCCCTAGATTTACATATACTGCTTTACATAAATGGTTTACAAAAGTTAGGATATTGCCCCCAACAATCTGATTCATCATTTTATCAACCTTGGAAGGATGGAAGAATGGCTGAGTCAACCTTGAGCTGGTCAGGATTGAACCTCTGGCTATGGACAGAGTTAATCTACAATTCTGTATTTTAACACTGTAATTTGTGGTAAAAAATACCCACCCACTAGACTATTCAAAATCTTGTGTTCCATATGCATACAGTTCAAAGTAAAATTGGGTATAATGTCCCTTCCAGTTTATCTTTTTATCCATATTAAGGTAGTATCTTATTGTAACTAAAATTGTAGGAGTAAGGATGCAGCTATGGTGTGTTCAAAGCAATTTGTAGTATAATTAATTGTAGAAATACATGTCATGTCATACAGAATGCTTGATAGATTGCAGAGTTTCTTTTCTAAATAAAATCTTTTACCAACCCTTATGTAAACCCAATTAGAAAATCAATGTGTAACATATTTATGTTGCCAGAAAGGATTCGATGTGTTTAATGCACTGGACTTGATGGAAAACAAAACATTCCTGGAAAAACTGAAATTTGGTATTGGTGATGGAAATCTGCAGTATTATTTGTATAACTGGAGATGCCCTGGCATGGATTCTGAAAAGGTAACCTATTTACACCAGATATTTGATTGTCCTTCCTATGCTTCTGGAGATAACAATAGTAATCAATACTTCCAGAAGATATAGTAGTCAAAAAGGCTGACATACAGTAATGTCCAGATTCTCTATATCTTCATTTATGTAATGATATGAAATATACTGAGTAGCTCCTCCAATAGCAGTGTTTGCGTGTGCCTTCCTTCCTTCCTTCTATATTTGGGGTTTCCCACACAGTACCCTGTGGATAATAATGTACCCTGTTTCCCTGAAAATAAGACCTCCCCAGATAATAAGTCCAGTCGTGCTTTTGAGTGCATGCAATAAAATATGCCCACGCTACAAAATATTGCAACACAGCAGCAGCCATGAGGTAACCATGCTCACCGCCTCCTGCACCTCAAAAATAATAAGACCTATCCAAAAATAAGGCCAAGTGCTTATTTTAGGGATCAAAAGAAAATAAGACCCTGTCTTATTTTGGGGGAAACGGGTATTAGTAAAGTCTTATCTTGATAGACTTTGCATCATTGGAAAATTAGCACCCTGCAAAACCCGACCTTCATTTTCAAAAATGCTTCTGGCCTCCTAGGCATGGAATGGAACAACTTGCCAATTCAGCAAATACGAAAGTAAATTAATTTTAATGGAACCACGGCTGATAAAAATAAATCAATCCAGAAATATAAGAGTTACAATAATTTTGACGAAAAAGTGGTCATTAAGAATAAAAGTAACTGAATGAACCAATCAATACAGCATTGAATTGTCTTGCAGCGGGTTGTGAGTAGCAAGTTGGCCACAGAAGTTGGCTGCAACAAGTTGTCCTGTTTCCCCACCCCCATTAGGCATAGACGCACTGCACATATCTCCCCCAAAATTCCCCACCTGGAGTTGGAAGTGAGAATTGGAAGGCAGACAGAAAATGTGGTGGAGTATTTTATAATTTCTCATAATAGCCACCATTTGGCTGACAGGATTCTTCTCCCTGTGGCAATACTTCTTTGTGAGAATCCTTATAGTGCGCCCAAGCGCTACTCTATAAGCATAAAGGACTTTGGTTTTATCTGCAGTAACATCCTTGTTATCATTTTTCTAGGTTGGTCTTGTATTACAATAAGGTGAAAGGACACTTATATTTATAATTCTTGGAAGTCATCATCTGGGCTCTTGGATACTCTTGGATCCGTACAGTTCAAGAGGCGCCAAAGCACAATGCCTGATGAACTTAAATCAATCAGTCAAACCTTGGGGGAGGGAGGGCTACAAGAAGTGAAGGTTTCTGAGCTCAACTAGCCCTTCAACTCTGAATAGGAACAAAAATGCTTATAAACCTTTTACTGTTTGTCAATGAAAAAGAAATAAAGCACATTTGTTTAATTTTAAATGCTTAGCTCGCATCTTGATGCAAAGGGTACTTTTCTGTTTCCCTGCATAAAAATAAAAAAGACTTTTTGTACAACAATGAAGTTGCAGTGGTGGAATAGAGTACAAATACTTTACTGTAATGTGACTGAACTGCTGCATTTCTATTTATTAAGTGGTAGTGTATGTTTATCAATGTAACGAAATGAAGGAGCCAATTTTAAGTATTTCTGCTTATTTTCATGACATGGATGTCATCATCGTCAAGAGCTTTGGGAATATGACTGGTAGGAAAACATGCAGATTTGGGAAATCTTTTGTAATGTGGAATGGAACAGACATATGCTCATTGGAGTAGTAAGTGTTGCTCCATAAATGATGCTGCCAAATCAGTAAAAATACAAATTTGTAATTTGATCTTCAACAGACCAGTGACTTGATTATAGTACAGCACTGCTGAATGCACATGTTGATATCCTCCCTGAGATATGGTGTTCTTTTCATCTTACAGCTCCGAAAAAGAAATTTTTACAGTTTTTGATGGTACAGTAACAGCAGCCTGTACATGAAACTTAGAATATATTACTACTGTTATTAAGATGTGTTAAGATGAATGTGTTTTAAGGCTTTTGCAGAATTGCACATATTCCTTTTGTCTACTCGTTTTTTTAAGAAAACATTTTAAACTTAAAAATATGTTTGTGTAAATAAGTAAATTTGTTGCTAGTAGTAGCAATATAATTCTGGTTTTGGGGGAAGATGTGGTTTCATAGTATACATTTGTATATGTTCTTGCAAATGATTTTTGTTGGCAGAAATATGTGCCAAAATGTCTTGGTTCATATCTTATGGTAAATCTTAATATGGTTTTGTTTGGCTTAGTGCGTCATGCGAATACAACCTACCATAATTTCTTTAACAAATGATAGCTTAGCAAAATGCATGAACCAGGTCAAGATATCTGTTTCCCTTTGGATTAATAGAGTTCAGTTTAGAAAATGGTAAGCCACTGCATATGCAACCTCATTTTCAACAACTGTTTATATATAGATTTGTCAAACTCTTTTCACACATCACAGTAAGCCATGCTTGTTGGGGAACTATAGTTAGTTTGTAGACAACAAAATATTCTTTTGGCCAATTTTGGAGGCAGGTTTGTTTCCTTTATTTTAAGCTTAGTTATTTGCCCTTCTCCAACTGGCATTTTCCCAATGCATCGGACTAACTTCTAGCATCTTCCCATCAATAAAAACAGTAGCCTCATTTGAACACAGTGCCAAGCCATAACGTCATTTGTTTGGTTTTGGCTGCTTGTGATATTTCAACTCCCACATGCTGTGGGAACTGGCTATCTAAATTTTTATATTTCTTGAATAATTGTTTTTCCACATTTCAAAATAGTATCTTGATCCCATCACATTTTTGAGAGATGGGTGGGGGAATTGTAGATGTTTAACAATGATCTGAACATCTTTTCAAAGTGGATTCATCAAGTACAAAGTTGCTGGAGAAAAAGTATTATCAAGATTTGATCCTAATTTGTTAGTAGCCTTGGTAGATAGTATAACAAGTTTAACCAAATACTGAAACGTATTTGTATATTTCCAAATGTGGAAATTTTCAAAGAGATTCCAATAGCCTAGCTTAGAGTGACCATGAGATCATGTGTTTTCGTCGCTCCTAAATCAAAAACTACTAATTCGGTTGCTAAATCTCAAGCTTTTAGTCTTTTCCTATTGTTAGCTAATGGGGAAAGGGACTCTTGTACATGTTTTCCCAAAAGCTGATGTTGCATACAAACCAGGAATTATAATTTTAAATGTTGCCAGAAACTCCTAATAGCTCTAATCCCGGATTTTGCATTAGTTGCAAAATCTGTGCTTAAAAGTAATTTACACCTTGTTAACGGACACAGTTCTATACTTCCTATTCTGTTTCTTCCCCCAATTTTCCCGTTTCTACAACCCATTCTATAGCAATTTAATGAAGTGTATTCTAAACAATTATTTTAATTATACAACCAGGACCAATTTTAGTGCTTGGATTTAATAACATTTATCTGAATATGACAATACTGTGTCCTCCTCTTAGAAATCTGCTTTTCTGGACCAATGCACCTCACAAGCTATTAATCCAAAAGCCTGAAGTCTCAAATGCCTCTCTATCTTAGTGCAGGGAACTGATCTGATATGCTAAAGAAAGTAATTTGTATTATCAAAAGCAAAATGCATCTGTGCTCAGTTCTGCATGTCCTACTCGATGAGAATCACAACTGTTTAAGAAAAAATATTAAATAGAAAAAGGATGTTCTCTCAAATGTGCAGCTGTTTTCAGTTACAGCCTCTTAACAGTTCTTGAATTTTATTGGCACCAATGAATGTTTCAATAAATGTATCACTTTCATACTATTTTGTTTTGAATAATTATGTTTAATCTAAAACATTTGTTACTTCAAAAACCAAGGTATTCTGTTTAAAATGATATAACCCCTACAGACTGGGGAAGATGGAAGTTGTAACCCAAAATATCTGGAAAGCACCAGATTCGGAAATTAACTGTAGAAGGCGCCATGAACAGAGTATGATTTTTATCCCAGCATCAAGTACAATGGCCAGCTTTTCCATCTTGCCTATTTAAGATTACCAACATCAGTAGAAACAAATTTTACATATACATGTACACACTTGTAGAATACATACATATTTATATGCTGTATCTACTTTGCAGAAGCCACATTCCAAAAAGGTTATAGCCAGGATAAATAAGTTACATTTTTTGAATTAATAATTCCTAATAAAAATCACCTAGTACAAAGGCTATTTATACAATGAACTAATTTTTATGTTGGCATACATGAACACATTCCCCTTGCTTCTTCTAGCAGCAGAAGAAATTCACTGGCTGGAAATTAGTTGAGGGAAGGCAGAAGAAAAGTATAAAATAAAAACTGAAGAAAAAATAAGAAAAAAAGAAAATTATATATATATTAAGCAGCCCCTTCTAGATTGATATACCTTTTAAAACAACTTCAGATGTCTAGTTTCAGTTCCAATTCAAAACTAATTTGGAAAACGTGTTTTCAGTGATATGACATTATTATATATCATAGTTTTGGGTGGGCAAACGTAAATGCAAACTGTAGAAATCAATGTTACTTTGAAATACGTTTTTTAGTTTTGGGAAGCTTGCGGGATTTTTTGGGATTGGGAACTACATTCTTAACTTTAAGCGTCTGAAGAGTTATGGTAGGGGAAGTGAGCGGGCTGTCATCTGCCAGTTTCCACTTGTGACTGAGTGAGCTCCCTACTGGGGTAGACTCAGTGAATTCAGTAGCTGAAGGAGTCACGACATCAGTATCATTTATTAAAAATGGTTCAATTCCATGCTGCATCCATGGCAGATCTAAACTAGGAATTCGTGGAGTAATTACTTCAAGGACCTTTGCAAACACATCAGCAGTTCTTTTAAACCCCAAGGCCAGCACAGAGGTTAATCCAAGCATTGGGGCTAATGTTTCGCTGAGACGTGGAACTTGCCCAGCTGGGATAGCTCGACTTGCGCTGAGTGGAATCAGATGAGATGTTAGCAAGGCAGGTTTAGCAGATTTGCATACCAGTACAAGACCCAATTCATTTTTTTCTAAAGCTCTAGTTACTTCATTGATTCCAATAGCAAGTTGGTTCCTGATTTGCACATCAGACCACCCATGTGCTTTTGGGTCATCAGCCCCTTTGTCCTCATTAACTTCGCTCGGAAGATTGCAACCTTCTTCCTTCTTTTGCCTTTTTCTGGAAGTGGGTTTCATTCTCTTCCGATCTTCTATCTTTTTAAATCCAGTCTGCTTAATGACTTCTTCCAAGGCCTGCAACACAAAATGCATATCCTCTCCTGTCAGTGTACACCATTGTGGAATATAGGGGTTGTTCAAAGATGTTTTCACAATTTGTTTAGATTTACGGGCTGACCCTTTCCCACGGAGAACAGACATTTTGGTGTTCTTACACTTTGGAACTCAATCTGAAATGAACAGAAGAAAAAAGGTTTTAAGTATTTTGCTTAACATGTAGCATTAATTAAAAATAATAAAATGTCCCATTTGCTTTTCTTATATTAACTTCATTCTACGCTGTTGAAAGGATCTGAAGCTGTAATTTTACAGCTGAAAAATATTTTCCCCCCATGGTATTGGGGAAAAAAAGTTATCCCGAGTAGCTACAGTACTGTTAATGATTTGCCTACAATAAAAAAAAATTAAGCGTTTAATCAATCAATGTAATATTTTCACTTGGGGTACAAATAACTAAAATTACCATATTCTGAATGCATTATGCAAAAACGTATCTCTCCTGAAAAGTCTGAAAGATGGAAGGAAAAAGATGAGGCGAGACAAAAGCAAAATGGATGTCTTTCGTTATACCGGCAATGGGAACACTGTTGGAAAGATCTGCAGGACCAGGCTGGAAATAGATCATGCTGGATGTCTAACTAAAATGATACAAACTTGATGACACATCAATCAATCAAAAGAAAATCCCAGCAGGACTGGAAGAGCTGGAGCATCAAGAAAGCTTTGAACCAATAGATTCCCAAACTTTTTTGTGCTTACAATATGGGGGGGGGGGGGAAACTAGACTATCTCAGAAATGGAAATGTTGATCTACTAGGCTTGTATAAGCCAATAGGGTTTAAGAAGTGCCAACTTGTCTGACAAATATTGTCATATCCTTCCCCTGTTGCAAGACAATTCATGCTATTACTTGCCAGCAACCAAAGTATGTATGTGTTCCAACCACACACACTGTATACACATAAAAGAATGATAAATAAATAGGGGAAAAAAACAGCTATGAAGTATTCCTGAACACCCATCCCTCCTTTTTCACATAATACATGCATCCATAACCTGATGGTTTAGATTCTCACAATATTACGGCCTAGATTTATACAACACACTAAGCTAAAATAGGCTTGGCTAGGTTGTTATCCTTCCTTGAAAAACATACTAGGTTGGGAAAGGTGGAAGGAACATGAAGTGAGTTAAGAGAAATGAAGGGTGACCTGGAAGATGTAAAGGCAGAGATGTGTTGGAGCTGTCTCATGAAAATCAATTTTAAATTTTGTAGAAACTGCTCAGCCAGTTGTCAGCAGAGCTGAACCACAAGCCCAGCATGCCAATCAGTTGTTCAGAGGCTAGCAGAACAGAGAAATGGACTGGTACTGGCAGAGGCTGCTTTTAACCATCTGCAACCTAAAGAACCAAGTTGAAAAACTGATCATCCTGGAAAAGGTTTATCTATGTGGTTCCAGGAGTTGATACCAATTAGAAGATCTATCAAATTTCTTATCCTGTATGTCATGCAAAATAGCTAATTTTCAGCTTTTTGCGATAAAGAGCGTTGAAATCAACTTTTGGAGACTACCTGGACTTTCTCGGCAAAAATATGGAAACAACTTATTTGATGGTTTTACCATTCCCAACTTTCACCACCATGACCAGCCCCCAATAAAGGTCCTATTCTATTTTCAGAACATTCGGACACCTTTCTCTGCTAAACGCTGCAAACTGCTGACAGGCAATAAGACAATGACGTTGAACCCCAGCACAATAAAGCAAATAGACTCGGCAACTTCAGGTTTTGCACAGAAACGCAACTTTCGAAACTTACAAATTAAATGAAAGAAACGCTCCTTAAAGCTGCAATAGTAGACGTAACTTAATCGAGAAGGAAAAGCTAACCGCCCGGTGAAGTCCCCCCCCCCTTTCTTAAAGGGGAGCTTATTGCATGAAGCTCTTCCATCCAATTTAAAGGGAATTATGGGTTCGCTACCAATGAAGCAGGTAATACGTACACTTGCGCCTTCACTCACCAGGCTAGCCAGCAGCTTCACGTGCCTCGAGCCCACCGGGAGGTGCACGCCACCCGCTTCCCCTCCAAATTCCAGCGGCGCGATCGATTTCTACCTCCACCGATGGAAGCGCAGCGGCGCACACGCAGAAGCCACGCTGAGAGGCGAAGGCATCTTTCCCACGCCGTGTTCAGCAGAGCAGGAAGCGGAAGCGGCTAGTTGCGCGTCAAGTTTAGACTCACGTTCGCCTCGCCAGCGCCCCTTCGCGTCTGGGCGGACTCTGGGCGGAAAGGAAGGGCGCGCCAATGATCAACGCCAGATTGCTGTGAACAGCCCCTACCTTTCTGCGTTCACGCCTCTCTTGAGCGCCACCCTATGGCCATAACCCGCAGAATTGCCTGAACTTCAACGACGATAGAAAATCAGAGTTCCTGGAAAGGGATCTTTTAAATAAAAATCGGGGCAATTCGATTTTTAATGGGGGCATTTTGAATCTTATTTAAACTAAGTTAATGGCCTTTTAGGCTTCCTCCACATGAGTAGAGTTCACTTTTTGAGTAAAGTAAGAATTACATGTGTGTGGGGGGGGTCAGGATTTTAGAGATGCATAGGTGGGGCATGCATGGCCAAAAAAAGGTTGGGAATTAGATTTTAACACTTCCTTTTATCCAGAGGGACATCACCTTTGCCAATCCAAATAGTGACATTCACCAAGCAAGTGATGCATTTAAGATTAAACTGCCGTTAAGAACCCAAACTGGTCCAGTTTACCAGTGTATCATCTGGCAGGACCAGGAAGAGAGTCTTTTCTGCTATAATACTGGCTCTGTGGGACATCATCCCCCAGACCTTGGATTGGCCCTGCTAACCTTTAGGAAGACCATGAAGACATGGCTCTACCACCATGTCTGGAGGTCTGGCAATGGTGGGAGTTCTTACTACTGGTATCTTGAGCTTTTGGAGGATGAATTCTACTGTTGATCATGATTTTTTTTAAAAAACTATGAATAGTTTTTGTATTTTTGTTCATTGATTTTTCCTGTTTTATTGGATTATTTTTATTTGTTTGTGAACTGTCTAGAGTTGCTTCGATGAGATGAGTGATTAAACAAATTGAATAAAGAGATTTTTAAAATTCCAGATTAATTTAATATAATTCCAGATCTCACACACAAAAACATGTCCCACATTGATTTTCAATAACAATTCACAAATCTAGTCAACATTTTGAAATGGAAATGAATGTTTTAATCTGTCATTCCTCTTAAGAGCGGTGAAATTGTGATTTAGGCTAGAAGTTGGTAGTATTTTATTTTTGCATCTATGACTAGCAAAAGATTGGGTTGAGTGGAAATTCTGCATTCTTCTGTTGTGCGTTTTTAAATTATGTATTGTCATGTTTGTTTTTTTATTTTTTGTCTGTACCCCCCCCCCTTCCCAGATTTGATTTGGCGCCGCCCTGAGTCCCCTTCGGGGGGAAAGGGCAGCATATAAATATAATAAATAAAATGAATGAATGAATGAATTCAAAATATTTTTGGTCGAAAAATGATTTAGATCTTTAAGCATCAATCCTTTTCAGATTTCTATAATAGAATATTTGATAAATTTTGCTGACCAAGAAATTGGAATTCCAAGCACTTTTCCCCAATAAGGAAAGAAATAAATAGCAGAATTTGCCAAGGGCTTCTAAATTGCATTACCCATTGGTTGGTTAGCTTGGCTTTAGCTGGTTCTTTTTTGTTCCTTATGTGTCATCAATTTAATGTTGTCTCTTAGTGACTGATCTTTTCCAGGATGATTTGTTGCCAACCTAGCTCTTCCGGTATCTCAATAGTGGACCCATCAATACTACAAGCAAGTCCATCCACTTTGCTACTAATCAATCCCCTTTCTCTTTCCTTCCACCTTTCTTAGTATTATAGTGAGTTGTATCTTTTCAAAATGACTCTAAAATACAATTTGGACCTGCCCAATTGTATCTTGGATGAAAATCTCTAGACCGACCGCAAAAGCATCAATATCTTAGTTCTTCAAAGTTCAACATTCACATATTACACATTCACATACTACACATTCACATATCAGAGAGAAAACTGTTGCTTGAATGATTCTAAGAACAAACATATTCCAACATCTGAATATCATTTCCAAGTATTTTATTGCTACAGGGTCATGTGTTACGTCTACAGTCTATTTCCTGATTGCTGGTCCCTTTAACATTGATATCAACCCTAAAAGGCAGAAGTACCACCCCTTTAATATCTTCATTATGAGTTCTAGAATCGGTGACTGTATCCACTACCTTTAGTTTGGTCTTTTTATTTAATAATCCCATTTGTTTTATTAGTCCTTGATTTTCATTACTAGAGTTTGAGATAATTTGTATTGTGTCATAAGCACAATGTATTTTTGCTTTTTCCAGTTTTAAATCTACACCCATCTTCTTCCAATCCAACCTTTCACTATATACTCTCATATAGGCTGAATAAATATCAGGAGTGTATTTAGTCTTGTCACACTGCTTTACCAAGCTGGATCTAATCTGTTTTTTTCATCCTGTGGCTTCCTCTCCGGTATATAGCTCTCCCTATAATCAATTGGTTGCACATTATTTTCTTATCACTATCATAAATGTGAATAGTTGCTGTAAACAAGGCAGATTCTAAATGAGAGAACCTTTAGTGTTTTCTGACTTGCACTGGTTTAAGCAGTGTAGTTTTGCGTTCTGCTGTTTTAATATAGGCAACTTCATTCCAGTAGGATCAATTACTCCTAGTCTGGAGAATGACCGCTCTTCTCATCACTAAAAGCTGCATTTTATTTTAATTTTTCTTTTCACCAGGTGACATTGAGAAGATTTCTGTCACTTTTAACCCAAGTGACCTAGTTTTGTTTTTTTGTCAAACTGCAGTAAACGGAGGAATCTACTAATCAAAGGTTGTAATGAACATCAGGTCATTATCATGGCCAAAAGAAAAAATGAGTTGAATCCAATGAAAGTCACTCTTAATCCAGCTTCATTTCTAGTTTATGCGCAGGAGACAAGCAATTTAAACAGCAGTGTGGAAAATCCCTTAAGAGTATTGGGGATGAGATTAGATATGCACATGTGGTCTTATTAAATAGAGAACTGGATTAGGATGCAATAAGCAATCTCTTAAAATTTGCTGAGCAAAAGAAATAAGCAAATGATTGTTAGTATACTATTTTATTGTACATTAATTATTTAAATTTTATAAGAATTTTATAAGAACCATGCCACATGCCCACAAATACGTTTTTAGAGTTGACTTTCTACAATTGAAATCAATAGGAGATACCAGAAATTGAAGTGCTTCATTCTAATTCATCTAGTTTATATAATCAATAGTAAACTGTAGTCAAGGCTGCTATTCTGAGTATAAAATAATTGTTCAGAAAATGGCCAGCAGCAAAATCTTCCAAACCAATACAAAATAGTCCAGCAGAGGTTGATCAATACAATATTGATTAATGCATTTTACCTGAAATACAATTTCTGAAAATAATTTACTTTTAAAATGAATGTTGCCTTATGTTAATGAATTTTTCTCAGTCTTTTGAAAAAGAATGGTTATATTTCAACTATTCTGAAGTTGTTTTCTTTTCAAATTAATATTGTTTTCAGATTAATAACATGAAAAAGAAAAACTGGAAAAGGGGAGGACTGAAATTCCCCACTATAGTCTAATCTATTCTACTTCATTTTAATTCTAGGTTAGAAAAAATTCAGGGGAAAGCATTCTTTTTGTTTCTAGGCGCAATTTTTCTAGCTGTCAAGCAACAAAAACTGACGGTTGCTGGACACTCCCTTCCCTCCAGTATTACTCCCTGGTTCCAAGGCTCCCCTTACATACTTTTCTTATTTCGGCATTTGTGGAGAAAGTTGCGTAAGGGAGCTTTCTCTCTCAGCCTAACTCACTTAAGAGGGATGTCGTGGGAAGAATAGGAGGAAAAAGATGTGCTGGACATGTTCGCTTTCGTAAATTATTTAAAAAAATAATGAAGGCGGGATACCAATAAATAAAGTAAAGCAACTCTCAACTAACCACACCAGCTGAATTGACACAATTTAGTAGGCACTGGACTGGAAAGGGTCCTGTGAACGCGACCTTTCTCTTCCCTTGACAGATTTAGTCCCAAGCATTTTACTAGATGTCCGTCCTTTCGGTGCCACGGAATATATGAAGCTATCTGCTGTCAAATCTTATTGTGCTGACGATGGCTATCCTCCAGGACGGAGGGCAGCCCAAAAGAGCCAACCGCGACTCTGCGCACTGCAAGGAGGTTGTGTCTCTATCTTGCAGCAATCCCAATGCGCTGAAATCTGACCCTCTTTCTCTGGCTTGGAGAGAAAGCTTGCGGTTGCAAAACAATACCTCTGACCGAAGGCGCGATTCCGCTGCTGCTCCGCCTTTGCAACCGCTCCTCCTCTGCCCCCGAGGGCTTGCTTTGCATTTCCCTGCTTTGAGGCAGACGGAGCTCACCTCATCAGCTCTAGTTTGCTTTGGCGCACTGAGTAGGACAGCCCCTGGAGTAGTGACGTCACAAAGCCCAGCTCTAGTCACAAAGCTGTGGCCAGCCTGGGCTCATTAAAAAAAAAAAAAAACCTGCGGGGGAAGCGCGCGCCTAGTGCCAGATCTGCTACCCGTTGGCAAGAGCGCAGGTGTTCGGTGCACGGAGCAACATGACACTCCAGGTAATGAAATGCAAAAAGGGGATGAGGAGAAAGAAGGAGAAGAACTGGTTTTACATTTGTGACTTCTGGGCTTAATTGCAGACGAAAAACTAGATCATGAGCGAGGGTTGGGGGAGAGAATTGTTGACCTGCTGGAAATCGGTTTAGCTTCGATTCGTCCTGTAAAATTCCACTTTTCCTTTTATCTGCGTCGCCGCCTTGGGTCGGGACCTTGATGCACATACTGGCCAAAACCGTTTTTTAACCTGACCTGTGATGCAAAGTGGACAGTTACTAGTTCCCGTGTGGATGTGCGAACCGAGTTAATTTAGTTGAGTTAGGGGATTCTAATTAGCCGTAGAAAAGATTCGTGTGGATAAAAGTTAGATGTCTACTTTGAGAAAAGTTGATACTCCAATTCTGTATTGGGGGAAAGTCTCTTGACACTCGGCCAAGACTGCTGAACTCTTCGTGTGTTTAATTAGACTGTGAACCCACTACTGGAGCGGAAACAATGCAGGGCTTTGTTTCTGGGTGCAGAAGTTTCTTTTCTTTCTTGGTTGAGAAGGAAAGGGCTCTGCTTGCTCTTTCATTCCCCACCCCTTTTTTCCTTTCCGTCTCCTACTGTGCTTGAGCACAGAAATGGGACTTCATACTTTTTCTGTGCACAGTATAGATACGGTCCTTGGAAAGGTTGTGACTTTATAATTTCTTCAGCCAGCTTGACTGCAGAGAATCTGGTTGATGCTCTCCAGGAGGCTGTGCTATAATAATATGTGTGCTGTAATGAGTCTCACGTGGACAAAGACAGATGTTTGATAGTAAAACGTGTTTTCTAAGCATGGTTGCTGTGAAGAGTTTGAATTTGCTACAGAAAGCAAGGTTTTGCCTTCCAGATGGATTAAGGTTTAGTTTTCAATGAAATTAGGAATGTGGGTGATCCTAAGATCATTGCAATTCACTTATAGGTTCAGGTATAAAGGAATATAAGAAAACTCCATGCTAAGTATCAAATCCAACCAGGCAGCTGCTAATGGGGAAATTGGAAATTGGACAATAACACTCTTCTATTCCTACTCCTTACAAGAGAGGCAGTGTGTTTCTTATTGCAAGGGCCGCACATCTCTTTTGTGATTAATAGCTACTAATAACTGTGCTGTCTTTATGTTGATGTAATTTCCCCCCAATTATTCAGGGTGATGGCCATCACTGCCTCTTGTGAACGTAAGTTGCATTGTTTAATTAAATGCTCTGTGAAACAGTATTGTTTCCTGATTCACCCAACATCTAGTATTGTGTATTGTCTAAAGAGATAAAAGTTCCATTCCTCTGCTTCACATCATGTGTATTTGTATGCAGATTGTATTCATTTTTTTCTTAGCTAAATAGCCAACCAGCATTGTCACTTTCCCGTATAGCATCTTGACTGCTGTGGTTCCATTTTCAAACCCCCCAATCTTGTGCTGGTTTCTTAGGGCAAGCTTCTGCATTGCTGGCATGGATTTTTCCCTTAATTGAACCTGGCAAAGTTGTAGATAAACAGTATTTCACTTGCTTCTAGAAAATCAGGTGGTTCCCAATTGCACTTCTTTCCACCAGGTCTTGCTTTTGATCTGACTGCATATGATACTTGCTCTTACTTTGCAAATGGACTTTCCCTGGTAGAGTACTAAAGTAGTATGGGGAATAAAATTAGACACAGAGCAATGTTCTTCAGAGGGGGCAACATTTGTAGCTAAGCATTCTAGATGGGAGACCACATAAAAGTAATATAAGGTGGACTGGAAAGTTTTTTTTAAAAAAAAAATCCCTGAAGAAGGTAGTATTAAATCATTTTTGTAATTGTTATCAAATAAACTGCAGGGTAATACCCGATTCCCCAAGAGTGAAACTCAATCCAGGATTCTATTTATGGTGGGAAGGCTGCTGTTGTAACTCCTTCATCCAGTGATTATTAAATACTGTGGCAATGGAAGAGGTAGTTTGGTGGCGTGGTTAAAGACATTGAGCAAGAAACCAATGTTCTTGTCCTGCATTAGGCACAAAGCCAGTTGGATGACCTTCAGCCAGTCATTTTTTCTCAGCTCTAGAAAGAAGGCAATGACAAACCACTCCCCAAATCTTGCCCCAAAAAATCTGCAATGACATGTCCAGGCCAGCACCAGGATCAACAAGGACTTGAAGCCTCCCCCCTCCAAAAGCAATAGAACATGTTTGCATAACCTTTAAGATCTTCCACAAATTGTTGGACTATGAGATTTCATCACTGTTGTGAAATGTGCAAAGGTTTTGTTGACTGGGAACCCCAAGGATAAGGATGGATTAAAGATAATATGCCCTTAGCCAATGGCAGTTTTATTATAATTTCATTCTAATACCTGTAAACATGTAATCATGTCAAAGCAATTTAAATTTGACATCTGATTTTAAGCAGGTCCTTGCAACATTTACTGATTCTGCAACTCCAGTCTTTATCTTTATCCCCTTCAAAGTACTACTGCCACTTAGTAGAGAATGTAAGGTTGAATGGCTGAGGATTGCAGAGTGAGGTTCCCACAGAAAAAAGCACCTCCCTGGAAAATGGAAATATCATGAATACCAGTTCAGCTGGTTGGGGCTGGGAACTTTATAAGATAACCTCAGAAGCTGTTGTTGGAGGTAGCATGTTTCAGCCAGCCTTTAGTTCTGATGCACAGAACCTTTGATTGTGAATCACTTATCCAGAGCAGCTTTTTATGACTTTTTGGAAGCAGTATTTCTGTAATATGATTTCCTAGCATTTGATCTCCACAACTGATTAGTGGATTTTCTTGCTTTTTGCATCTCTGGGACAAAACAAATGGAAGATATAAATAATGGATATAAATTATGCAAATGAATAATTACTATTAATAGCATTTTACTCCATCAGAGAGTTCTATTTTTAAATGTATTATTTCTGTAAATTATCATAATAGATTTCTTTATCATGGTACACACTAGATCAGAATCTGGATTTTACTACTGCTTGCCTATTCATCTGGAAAAAAATTTGCTTGATGTCTCCTACATAATTTTTGATTATCAAGGCAGGTTCACATTAGTACTACAGTTAGCGAACTACTGGGCAACTCAATTTACGTTTTACTTCAATCCATCTCAGCCAGTACTGGAATTGTCAGGACGGTTTTTGGTGTGTGTGGATGTTTGTGTGTATGGCGCATGTGCTTTAGCAGAGGATGTAGAGCAGCCCAGTTGTGACAGCAGCTGGATGAGGGATTAAATCGTGGAGCCTCACTTTCTTTTTAGCCTAAGAAAAGATCACTACAATTGCACTCAAATATGAATCCGACTCAGTGTCTTTTATTATATAATTAAAATTACTTGTATTTTATTTCCTTTAATGCACAAAAACATTATGCATTGCATTCCTATTAAAACTATTGTACCCGGAAACCTACAGATTTTTCAGCCCCGGTAGCTGAAAAAATTAACCAAGATTATGTTGATTGAATATAAAAGATGTTGAACAGGTACATTTTTGAAATTTTAATAATAATAAGAAATTAGGACTGCAAGAAATTAGTGAACCCTGGTGGCAATGAAAAAAGAAAAAGACTATTTTGGGATAAATGAATTTTTTATATGTGGGTACTATCAAACTTTTGTTCCCATAATGTTTAACTGGGCAAAACAGTACATCATAGGACAACAATTTTTGAACCAAGGGTGAACTAACATAGAATGTATCAAAAAAATCCAGAATATTGTAGGATTCAGTTCTGACCAAGTAGATATAAAATTCTGCTGGACATAATACTAAAAAATGTGCCAGCTATACAGCATATGAGATCATTGTATCATACTAATGATCTTGGTTTGAGTAGAGTAAAATTAATCAGCCAAAAATCATAAAATTGTTCTCAAGCTAAAAGAGGAATACATTGCTGAGACAGCATATATTTAATCTGGAAAGTGACTTTGCTAATTGCATGTAGCTTTCATTCTTGTATATGCACATGAATGTATCATATTTCTACATTTTAATTGCATGAATTACTTGATGCAGAATCAATTATACAAGAGTTTTTTTGTGTTCATTTCTTTCTGACAGTTGTGCTATTTTTTTGCTTTCTTTGCAGGTCTGTCATCAATATTGTTCATTTTTTAAAGAATACTTGTTAGGGGTTTAATGAATTTTCTCTGTGTAGGAGAGAATCACATATTTAGAGAAAAGTCATTTTTTGGCTTATGTCAAATATAAATTGCCTTGGGGCCTTCTCATATTGTCTTCCTGGGCCTGCTGCTTAAGAATCTAGTAGAAATTTTGGGTGAGGACCCAGCTTGAGAAAGGGTTGATTTAATTTAACCAGCAAAAATTATTGCAGTTGGTCGCTTTTTAATTTACTTGGTTTTGTCAAGTAATAAACAATAGTATGGAATATTTGAATTAATGCTAAGTATGTTGGGAAAATACATTTTTATATATATAATACAGGATAGAGAAAAGCAAATTAGTAGCATAAAGAACTTTGTGAAGCTTTACAGAATTGGATAAAAGTACACACTTCTGTTTTCATAGAAGTGTATCTGTGATTGTAATATGTTTTAACGAACAGTGGAATACGTGGAGAAGGATGACATGCTTTAAAGCTCTTTTGCATAATGGAGTTGTGATATGCAATATCATTTAAAATTTGTGTTGTATGAAATAGAACCAGGTTATTTTTAGCAGAATCCTAAATATTATTTAAAAGTATTTTCTTAAATTTTATTTATTTACATGTATCCTGCCTTTATTATTTTTACAAATAACTCAAGGCAGTAATATATCCAACACATCTTCATCCTATTCTTCCCCACAACCCTATAGGGTGAGTTGGGCTGAGAGAGAATGACTGGCCCAAGTCACCCAGCTGCCTTTCATGATTAAGGCAGGAGTTTGAATTGACTGTCTCTTGCTCTCTCATCTGGGTTCTAGCCTGGTGCCTTAACCAAACTGGCTCTCAATCTTGATGAAATCAAAGCAAAAAGAACTTGGATTATAAACTCAACTAATAAATGATGTTGGCTTGTTATCCCAAACTTAGAGTTTGCTCCTTGCCAGTTGCTGTTCAGTAATGAAAGTTTCTTTATCTGGAACAGCAATTCTCCCCACGTACAAACCTGTTTTGTATGCATGGCCTCTAGCTCAAACACTGGAGAGAATTCTTACACTGGCAAAAAAAGAAAAAATGGTGTAGGGGTATGGGCTAGCATGGCATTAGAAAAACAGGAATATTTTACCATACATTTACCATACATCAGAAATGAAGCATTCAATAAAAACTGTAGAAATAAACACATCACATTGATACATGAAGCAATAGTATATTTCTTTTAATGATTGTCTTGTTTTATTTTCTCTTCAGACTGACTTTGAGGCTGCTGCAACAAATGTTACAAAATTAAAATCCAAGCCCACTGATGATGAATTAAAGGAACTGTATGGACTCTACAAACAGGCCACTGTAGGAGACGTCAACACTGGTACTTAGTAAACATATCTAGGAAAAATTGAGTATAAGAGCCCTTTTCAAGAATACGAGTTTAATGATTATATTTTCTCCTTCAACAGAGTGCCCTGGGATGTTGGATTTGAAAGGCAGAGCCAAATGGGAGGCTTGGAATCTGAAGAAAGGTTAGTTTCACTGTAAATAATACTAGGATAGGTTTTTTCCCCCTGATAAAAAGTAAGACATTGTAGTAACTGCTTATTTTCCATTCCAGGTACATCAAAAGATGATGCTATGAAAGCCTATATTTCTAAAACAAATGAAATGATCCAGAAATATGGACTGTAGAATTTCCTTAAACACTTCACCTTCAAGTAGTTATTGGTACTTTCAAAACTATATTATTAATGTTAATATTTGGGCCTAAAACGTAATCTGTAACAATTTCATTTTAATAATTGTGACATGTTTGTACTTGTTTACAATACATTTTGTATCTTAATACATCGCCTGTTTTCACCAGTATTTTAGACTCCTCATTCCAATGACAGTCTTGTGGTACTTTAAAGTCTCAAACATTTATAATAGCACATAACCCTTTGTGATCACTGCTCTATCAGACGATATGTGGAACGTCATTCTGACAGAATAGCATTATAATACACACACACAGTGATTATTGCTGGTTAAAAGCAGTATTTGATAAATGAGAGTGGGATACTAAATTACAAGTTAAACATGGTGACAATGACAGATTAATTCAATAACAAAATAAAATAATTGGATGAAGCACGATTTTGCGTTTATGAGGTTCTTATATTCAGTATAAGAAATCTTGGTCTCAGTTTATTTTGCAAGAAATATTGTTACGTCTGCTAATGATAAGCTTAATGAATTCTAGCTGTGCCATTTCATAGACTTCATAATTCCACTTCTAGAATCTAGAGGATAGCCATTGTAGTGTTGAAGTGTTTCCCCATTGCTCCTTGGTGTCAGAATTGGGTCGTTTTTTCCCTCATGTTTCTAAATAGCCAATTTGGTCATTATAAATTATAGAAAAGTACAGGTAATCCTTGACTTAAGACCACAATTGAGCCAAAATTTCTGTTGGTATATCAATTATTAAGCTGTTAAAGTGAGTTTTGTCCGATTTTGCAATCTTTCTTTTCACAGTGGTTAAGTGAATCCATTCAGTTAAGTTAGTAACACAGTTAAGTGAATCCGGCTCCCCATCGACTCTTGCTTGAGATCACATGACCCCAAGACACCGCAACTGTCATAAATATGAGTCAGATGCTAAGCACCTGAACTTTGATCATGTGACCATGGGGATTTCATTTCATTCATTCATTTATTATATTTATATGCTGCCCTTTTCCCCCGAAGGGGACTCAGGGCGGCTGACAAATCAATCTGGGAAGGGGGGGTACAGACAAAAAATAAAAAAAACAAATATGACAATACATAATTTGAAAACACACAACAGTCATATCATTCGAGACGGGGGCAACAGCTCTTTAGCCCCAGGCCTGTCGGAACAGCCAGGTTTTAACGGCTTTGCGGAAGGCCTGGAGGGTGGTGAGGGTTCGAATCTCCACGGGGAGTTCGTTCCAGAGGGTCGGAGCAGCCACAGAGAAGGCTCTCCTCCGGGTAGTCGCCAGTCGACACTGGCCGGCGGATGGAATTCGGAGGAGGCCTAATCTGTGGGATCCAATCGGTCTAGTGGAGGTAATTGGCAGCAGGCGGTCTCTCAAGTACCCAGGTTCAATACCATGAAGGGCTTTATAAGTGACGACTAGCACCTTGAAGCGTATCCGGAGACCAATAGGCAGCCAGTGCAGCTTGCGGAGGATAGGTGTTACGTGGGTGAACTGAGGTGCACCCACGACCGCTCGCGCAGCTGCATTCTGGACAAGCTGAAGTCTCCGAATGCTCTTCAAGGGCTGCCCCATGTAGAGCACGTTGCAGTAGTCCAGTCTAGAGGTCACAAGGGCACGAGTGACTGTTGTGAGGGCCTCCCGGTTCAGGTAGGGATGCAACTGGTGCACCAGGCGAACCTGGGCAAATGCCCCCCTGGTCACAGCTGACAAGTGGTGTTCAAAAGTCAGCTGTGGGTCCAGGAGGACTCCCAAATTGCAAACCCTGTCTGAGGGGCGTACTGTTTGACCCCCCAGCCTGAGAGATGGAAAACTTGGCCAATTAATAGGAGGGAAACACACCAGCCACTCGGTCTTATCCGGATTGAGAACAAGCTTGTTAACCCCCATCCAGTCCCTAACAGCCTCGAGGCACTGGCACATCATGTCAACCGCTTCATTGAGTTGGCACGGGGCGGACAGATACAGCTGCGTATCGTCCGCATACTGATGGTATTTTATCCCGTGCCGTCGAATGATCTCACCCAGCGGCTTCATGTAGATATTAAACAGGAGGGGTGACAGGACCGAACCCTGCGGCACCCCATAATTCAGGGGCCTAGGGGTTGATCTCTGCCCTCCGACCAACACCGACTGCGACCTGTCCAAGAGGTAAGAGGAGAACCACCGTAGGACAGTGCCTCCCACCCCCACCTCCCGCAGTCGTCACAGGAGGATACCATGGTCGATGGTATCAAATGCCGCTGAGAGGTCAAGGAGCACTAGGACGGAGGCATAACCTCCATCCCTGGCTCTCCAGAGATCATCAATCAATGGATGCTGCAATAGTCGTGTGAAAAATAATCATTAGTCACTTTTCAGGGCTGTTGTAACTTTGAACAAGGCACTAAATAAATTGTTTTAAGTCAATGGCTGCCTTAACAACATGCTCCATATTAGAGATAAAATGGTGCATTATCACACTGAACTCACACTGCCACAGTGAATCTAGGCCTCAAATTGGTTTCTGCATTTTATATAATTATACCAGTTTCTGCTGGTTAACAGCTATTTGTAGTTAAACCCAATAATAATGATCATGGCCAATGAAAGAAAAGTGCCATTAACTGTCCCCATATCTGTCTTTTGTCATACCTTCTTAAACGTGATTAGGTACAAGTGGCATGAGTACAAAGTCTGATGATTTAAAATTTCTACAAAATTTAGTAAGGGTTAGAAATTGGATGTGAAAATAAATCCTGTGTATTGGACTACATTGGGATCCAGCCAGACACAACCTATTGCAAGGAGAGAGTTCTCATAGCTGTTTCTCATTACCTATCACTATTGTGTAATGGTTAAAATTAGAACATTTTTGGCTCATGCACTTTGCTCCATGGTCTTTAATCTACCAGAGATTGATAAACAATTTGCCTTTTCTAAAATGTTTCCATATTATACTATAATGTACTATGTTATACTTTCCATGTGTACTAGTATACATATTATACCTTTTAAGTGTATGCCTACAAAGAGAAATTTACAGGATGACACAATCTGGGTCATCAACAGATTATCAAGCAGTTGATTAGTGAATTTAAGATTAAAAATTAAGCAACCATCTAGTAGACTACAAAGACTAGGATTTATCTACACTTACCACCTACATCTTCTAAAGTTATTTCAACACGCTCCTGTGCATAGATGATTGTCTTCCATAGAATCTGCTAGATGTTGTCTTACAGAATTACACAAACATCTGAACACCTTTTTGTCATCTCAAAAACAGATGCAATAAATAAATAAATACTGTAAATCCAAGAAAATATCTATCTATCTATATTCTATTGACTTGATTTTCCTTCTGCCACATGGCAAAATCATAAATGATTTTTGTTAAGATTCCTATCCTCTCTTCTGGAATTAAAATGCATAGCAATTCTTCCTCCATTTTTTTCCCCTGTGAGGACAAGGCCGAGTGACACCATGAGCTCTCCAAAAACAATCCTGGGTTATTATTATTTTTTATAATTTCTACCTTAATCCTATGATTGTTTATCTAACTTTATAAGTGAGGAATAATTTTTGTCTTTAGAAATGAAAATCCAATATAACTGCAAGCATACAAACTTTGCCTTTCAGCATGGTGTAATGGTAAAGGTGCTGAGTTCAGAGTGAGGCTCTGGTCCTCCCTGAGTCATGACAACCAGCTGGGCCATTCACCTTTCTTACTAACTGGTACTGCAACAATCCAAATATAATAATTAAAAAAACCTTTTACTGCATTATGCACTGGTGGCTCTTCAAAATAGTAATAACGGATGTGTAAAGTGCAAAAATAAATAGACTTACGACTAAAATGGACATGTGCTAAGGAAAGCAGCATATCTTGGCTTCCTTTTAACAGTTTATACCAAATCACTATAACCAATATTACCATATAATATTACCATATGGTTATATAACCATTTAACCAATTTCAATGTATACATGATGTACAGTGACAATAAAGGCTATCCTATCCTATCACAATTCATCCCTTCACAAGGAAGAAAAGGAAGCTCCACATTAGCTGAAAAGTTCAGCACCCTGGAATCCAGTATGCAGGCTAATATGTAACATTAAGGATTGCCAAACTTGTCAGTTACATTAATTTAGGTAATATTACACTTATCTTCCGTTTGAAATCAACTGATACTACTATTCAGTGTTTATTCTTTCAAAAACTTTTGAATGCTTGTTAACTATCTTGCGTGGTAGAATAATAAAGAATACACCTGCCCTCCCATCATAATGGAATAATGTAAGTAAGCACAGATGAATAATATTCACGTTTTTTTGCTCTTTGGAATGGCTTTATTTCAAGAATAAATTGCATTATTCATATAGTTTCTCATTTATGATACAAAGAATGCACGTTGTCCTGAGAATCATACTGAGTTCTACATTTGAAATGGCAAGAAAATACAGTATCTTTCATTATCAATTCTTCCGGTATGTAGGGAAGTCTGTATTTAAGCAATCCCATTACATGAGAAACAAAAACAGCCCAGGTTGCCTGAAATAAATTCATAAGTATTCTAATACTTTTTCCTTGATTACTTTTGAAGGCAAGGAAAAGCAATGATATGAATTTCATGTACAAAGGAAACATGATTGATGCAATGGTTGTTCAAAATACAACTTTCCATTGTAGTAGACAAAAGCAAGTTTCTCCCAGTGTACTTCTGAAAACACTGAATTCATTTGAATATGATTTTGCATTCTTTTATTACTAGGAAGATTACATAATTAACTTTTTTCTATAGAAAAATTCAATAAATCATGCATTTTAGAAGTTTATCATTGCATAGTTCTAATCATATTTTGCATTGCAGCTGCAGATTATTCAAAGAAAATTGCATTGTTATTGCAGTAGAACTTTGCATAATTTATGCAAACAGTTATATATAACTGTCAAATACCATGTCCATTTCAATCATTCCTTTTAAGTGAGACTTTCATATTCAAATTTTCAATAGATATAGTACTGTAAAAAAAAAAAAAGACATTGGAGCTCCAATACTTTTTCTACATCTGGGCTGTGGACATCATTTGTATTATGTCTTGAAAAGACTGGAACAATTCCTTAGATAAATTTTCGGCATCTGTGTCTGGACAGGACTTCCAGGCACTGCAGGCAACAACAATCCTACCAGAGGAAAGATAAAACACAACGGTTTAGATAAATGCAATTTAAAAAAAAAAATCAGCACAGAATTTCAGTTGGGTACACAAAGTCCTGGGCACCTAAGTAATTACAATGTTACAAGATGCAAATATTATAAATGCTAATCATGGGCGTATGGATTTATACTATAAAATGGGAATGAAGAATCTCCTCAAGATGTGTTTCATGTTGAACTTCAACAACATGAAAAAAATAACTACCTTCAAATTGGAGAAAAAAGCCTTAAAATGTCATAAGGTGAAGTATTTTTTCTTATCACCAGTATTTCACAGAAAATTTGGTTATATTATACTCCTAAAATATTACTTAGCATGTTATTCCTAATATAAGCATCAAAAATAAATAAAAAGACAAGAAATTAGCACTATGGAATATATAAACCTAGTTAGGAAACTGAATTTTTAAACTAAAATATGGGTCCACTTATATGAATGATGGTTTGTGGAGTTAACCCTGTCTGAATTCACAATATCCTAATGAAACAGTGATCTGTTCACCCTGCTACATTCATACAACAGAAAATTACCAGTTTAAATTAGTTATGTGAAGGCATAGATAGAGTAGATCACATAATTGACAGAATTGATAAGATATTTCAGGAGAAAGATCAATCATATTTAAAACTACACAGAAGAAAGTTAAGAGTGCCTACAAGGCCAACTGTGAAGTCAAGTTTTCATTACTGAAATAATATAGTAGTGATCTCTCCCGCACTGATACATAACTTAAAGAAAACAGGTTTCAATTTTTTACTTGGAATAATATTAATGAAATTCTTACCTGTCATCTCGAATTCTGTAGAATAAGCCATAACCGTGCTTTACCATTGGAACAACAGCTCCTGCAATTCTTGTGTACCCTACCAGGCTAGTTGAAAGAACAAAATTTCCACCTCCCCCACTGCAAATTAAAAGAAAAGAAGGCATGTAAACAAAAATAAGACCTGTAGATTCAACTCAGGACCGGGGTGAACAAATATAATTGCTTTCCCTGCTAAGATTAAGGAATTTCACTGAAATAAATGAATGGGTTTCAATGCTCAAACTGATATTATAAAGATTTTGGCACACACTTGCTAATGGAAAAAAGTGAACTACTTATTCCACAATAATAATTTAAAAGAAGTGCAACTTCTTAATCACTGGAAGCTGCTGGACCAATGAACATTTGTCCCATCACTAAATAATTATTGTCTTTTCAACTCCAATATGAGTTGTCCCTGTTCAGTGATTATATCATTTAGCAACTGTTCACATGATGATGAAAAAATACCTTTATACCAATCCCACCTTTTACAACTTTGTCTATAAAGCACAGGAAAGCTGAAGTAAGATCATAAGCACAGCCACTGTTTAGCAAGTGCTTCATTTAAAGACAGTTATTTGCTCCAATTGTGTTGCTAATTTTTCAGGTTGACTATCTGTAAAATCTTACGTTTAGTTGGTATAGAATGATTTAATTCCAAAGATAAATCTAAATTTAGTATTTTTCAATACCTTCTGGTGAAAGCCGGATCTAAGAAGAGTTCTGGCACTGGAAGGTTATGCTCTTTGGCCAGGATTTGGAGTCCTAAGAGATGACGATCAAAACCTGTTTTGAGAAATATAAATTAATTGTGACAAAATGTCTAATGACTTGGACAGAGTTTATTCCATTCAGCCTGTTGAACTTCTGAGAACAGTGGAAAGGATTTGAGAATTGTGCTGGAGGAAAAGTTATGCCAGTTGGGGGCTTATTGTGTACATTAGAGCTATGATTCTACTCAGCACTGTTATAAGAAGAGCTGGAGAGGTAAGAAAACAAATCACAGCTTATGAAGAAAACAGATATTAATGCCAGGATTCACAACTACTTAGGCCTAGATCAAGGTTTACCCATGTCCATACTTATAAAGGAGGAGGTTGGGTTGGAAAAAAAAACCTTTAAATATAATGAAAACTAAACAATAGTATTACTCTCAACAGGTAAATTTAAAAATTCCTCTCTTCTATTACATGAAAGATTATTTTGCTATTTTGAGATCGTAGAATGTATCTCTTTGCTTCTGCAATATTAAAAAAATGTACCTCTTCCATTCTCACACTCTTTCATCAGTTTATTATGTCTTGCAAATGCCTTTAACATTAGATGTTTTCTTTGGCCTTGCTGGAGAACATAAGAAAAACATAATTATTCCACCCAAACTGCTTATATCTAAACATTTCTTCAGAAAATAGCGAAAGACGGTAGGAAAAGGAAAAAGAGCCAAGATGAATCAGCTGCCATTTGGCTTCTTCTATGCTTCAATTATTATCTATCGGACTCTCTTCCATCTGTTTGCCAAGAAAATAAGGAGGATGGCTGGGTTCAGATGAATAACCCCATCTGTGGCTAGGCCACTTGAGTTCAACTCTTGTTGCGAGTTGAAACCCCTCATCAGATTAGGGAAAGCTGCTCTTGAAACATGGATGATCCAGAAGTATGTAATGTGATCATGTCCCAAATATACATCTAAAATTGTGTTCTACATTTCTAGAAACAGTGAAAAGGGAAGCAGCCACTTTTTGCCAAGTATAATGTACCTAATCTATACTTGCACAATCAGCGTGAATCAAGAAATTTAATGCAAATACATTATTTCCCCCAAGTAAAAAATTTAATTAACAAAAAGTAACATGGTAAAATATAACTGCTTTTAAAGAGGAATTAAAATATCCATGAGGATGAGATTTGTTTATTTCAAAAGGAAAGTCCTGCAAGTTTCATTTCATACAGAACACGATCCCTTTAGTATTTGACCTTTCCCATGCTGACAATTATGAATTCAGTTTATGAAATGATGTATTATTATCAAGGAAATATGGAACTTCTTTAGATTTTCACTTATTATATTTATTTTATTTTATTTAGTTTGTCACTCATGTACAAGATAACAGGAATAAGAATAAACATGAATAAGAACACAGGAAATGGGTACAAATAAATGGGGACAGTAGGACAGGGACGTTAGGCACGCTGGTGTGCTTATGAATGCTCCTACTTTTATCCTATGAGTAATTACCCTACTTTACTCTATAAGTAAAGAATTTTGGGGGTTATATAGGTCTTAGTACTGAACACAAAATAAAGTCACAATTTTTAAAAATCTGACTAGAATACTCACAGTGACTGTAGGGTCTACCATGGATTTACACCATTCAACTATTTCAGTGGTACATGGTCTCATAGTTTCTGTCCGGCCATGATAAAATTGTCTGGTTGTTGCAGTTTCATAACAGCAACCAGGGCTAGAAAACAAATGGTAGATTTATCCCTTAAATGTTTTAACTGCTCATAGAATAGGTATGTAAAAGCCCTACTGTCTGTTGAATATAGCAAATTATTTTTACCAAAAAGTATGTGAAACAAAGTCATTCTGCTCCAGTTTTTAAACCTTACGTAAAAAAAGGATGATTTACTTTATCTGGCCTTCACAAGATACATTATTAAAATGCTTTAAAAAAAAGAAAATTGATATAACAACAATACAAACAATGTTAGATAAATGAATACAAACATGAAAATAGTACATTTAAGTAATGCAAAAAGATAGGAAATGAACAAATTAGATTTTTGGATTACATCTGACTGACAAAATAATGTATAAATAAAGGAGAAGGGAAGAAACATAAAAGGCATTGATTTGATAATTCTAAGGAATATATAAAGTGTACATACCGATGAGAAAATAATTTCGATCTATTTGTAAACTTGCAAAGGCTCCATAAATTATACTCCATATGTATTTAATACAATTAAAAATATCTAATAGATGTTTAAAAACTTACTGTCCGTGACATCTGTAATAGGTTAATTGGAGAGCAATCTGGACAAATGCATCAGGATGAAGATGGTGTTTCTTAATCAGTGCTTTCCCAAAAGTTGTAAAAGCATAATTCACAAGCTGTAAGTCAGATACCTGAGAAGAGAAAAATAATGAAATTTCAGAGAACCAATGGAGGGAAATTTTACATTTTGAATTACACAAAACTTATAACATCTAGTGAAGATTCAAGAATCAAGACTTTAGAAACTAAGTGATGATTATTACCATATTATTGATAGAAACCTTTGGCTTATAACAATGCGAACAGGTATCCTAAATCATGCTTATCACCTGGACATATGAAAAAAGCATAGTTCTGCCTCCGTGTCATACATTTGAGGAACTGATACAAAATCTCTCAGGATCAATCTGGGCTGCAGTGCAAGCAGATGGCAAACCAAATTAACAAGTCGCTAACTGCATAAAAAGATTTCTCTTTTGCTTCATCCTCATTCATGTCATATGATGGAACCAAAAGGAATGCACTAACACCAAGCACAAATATATGACTTCCAAAAATGTACATGCATACCTGCTTGTAATATTTGTCCTTTGCACAAGTAATATCATTTAGCACCTTCTGATCAAAATTAAACATAAGCTCCTCTGGCAAAGGGATATTGCGTACTTTGTCCGATCCCTGTTTTGTATGAAATAAAAAGAGAACCATTTAATTTATCTGACACAGGAGGGAAGTTTTTTCAACTGGAAAAGGATGGAACTACAATTAACAACATACCTTCCATTTCCCTTCGGTTTCAAAAACCTTGGAATCAATGTAAGAACTGAGGGACACCAAAACCATGGCATCAAAAGGAGCATGCTGGAAGATATGTATAAAATAAACATTACTCTATGGAGCAATAAATATTTGAATCAATATTTTATTTTCTATTACAACCATAGATAATTTATAATGCTGCTAGTCAAGCTGGGTTGGGCTGTAATCCAGCAGCATGTCACATGTTGCCTATCTGTTTTCAATTATCTTTTTCTAGAAGGGTTGCTCATAATTTTGTTAGGTCAATGATATTTCTTATCTAGTAATTAAAAGTGTAGCACAATAACAAAATGAACAAATTCTGTTTAGGTTGCTATTTATAAATACATTATAACAAGCAGATATTTCTTAAGATTGCTGGTTGTAATGTTTTTGTATAAACACACACAAACACAAAGAGAAACACGAAATACAAACTCACATCACAGTTCGATGCAAAAGAACCATTTGAGAAGGCAATTAAGTTATAGGATTTGTCTCCCCACCGCAATGTTGGGTTCCCTGCGAGTGACAATCTGGTGATCTAAATCAAGAATTGGCATTATTAGTTCTGAAAGAAAAAAATTGTCATATTTGCCTTTCAAAGACTGAAAAATGCTCAGTCGGATACTCTACTTCTAATGTCTTCTGGCATCACTGCAGGGCGAAGTGTGAGAGCAAGATCTCCACCTACCATTGAGGTTCCTCACTTCCTGTACTACCTCCTACAGCATCTTCAATATGATCACTGCTTTTAAAATTTCTGTCTCTAGATACCAACTAGGGATGCAACATTGCAGCCTGGCAGCCAACAGTACCCTCTGAATGCTCTAGAAGCCCATTTAGAATACAGAAGCTGCTTTTTTTGAGGGGTGGCACTTTAGAAAATTCTAAGAGAAAAATGAATAAACTTTGAAGGCACATTTTAATTTTCAAAACCTCAAAAATCTAGTGTCCCTCAGACTGCTCAGGCTTCACCCATATTTATTATGCTGCACTTAGTAAATTACGGATGTAAGCCTGATATAAAACTGCAATCTTATATATATCTTTAAAAGGGAAGGCGTCAATAAATTTCAGTAGATTTTAAACAGAAGTCAAGCTGTCCAATGCTAGAAGACTCAGAAAACAAGAATCACTTGGATTTCTGGAATGATATGCATTGCTAATTTAATAACCAAATATTCATAACCCATCAAAATAATTGTCCAGATGGACTTAGTTACATGGAATAGTTTCTTGGTGTACCCAGGGCTTTTCCAATATGTTTTTCCAATATAACCATCAGGGAGGTAGCATTCAAATTACTTTGGCTAATGTGAAAAGCCAAAGTAGGGTTGGAATTGATGATTAGATGGGAGACCACTGGGGAATACCAGGCTATAGCCAAGACTGGGAAGTAAAAAAAAAATCTTACAGAAGCTGACTGCAATTCCTAGTAATCCTTGGCTTATGATTACAACGAAGACTAGCATCTCGGCTGTTGAGCAAAGCGAGCATTAAGTGAGATATCACATGACACTTTCCTCAATGACTACACTCAAGTTGTGGTTGTTAAGCAATCTTGTGTGTCATTAAGCAGATGGAGTCTGAGATAAAGACTGGGGGGGGGGTGCAATGCAGATGGAGGGAAGTGCTGAGTAGCTTGGCATATGTTACTGAGCCTATCAGCATAGGAGAAATCTACCACAGTCCAGGAAGCCTTGGCCAGTTTTAAGATCTACTGGTGTGTAGAAACTGCTGGAGATGGAGAAGCCTGGGGAAGGCTGCGGTTGGTTACAGGGCTGAGCAGCACATGCAAACTGACCCACTTACTTTGCAGTTTTTCTGCAGTTTCTGATAGGCGTGAACTATGCAAAGCATGAACTTCCTACCAAGACTGTCTCAGGGCATTCAGCAAGCAGGCACCATTCTCATTATAGTTCAGAAAGCTCCTCCAAGTAAGGGTTGAGTCCTATAACTAGCCAAAGCCTCCAGGGCATGATGGGTGAAAAGCAGGCCTGGCCTCTAATTAGCTGAGCTTCAGGTTCAGGCTATAGCAGGTTTCCACACCCCAATGGGGCCTGTAGCAAGCCACCCAAGATTTCCAAACAATTGGGAAACAAACGGAGCCTCGTTGCACAAGGCAGCATTAACAGAAAGGCCAGGCCTTGCATAGAATGACATGCCTGTCAGCAGGTGCAAAAAACTGGAAAGATAAATGGGGCAAATTGGGTGTACTAGTGGCCAAAGCTTCCTGAACCTGGTGGTATAAAGAGCCTGGACCTCTTGGATATGATGGGTTAGGAAGCAGACTGGGGCTTCCAGATGTGGCGGTATGGAAACAGGCCCAAGCCTCTTGACAGAAGACAAGCCTGACAGGCTGGAAACAAGCCAAAGTCTCCAAGACCATGGGGATTTTGCATGTGCTGGTAGGCTTGGAGGGAGGAGCAGCTGAGATTGGTGGAGGGAACTAAATCACCCCTGCAATTTTAAGTGCAGGCAAACTGAGTGCATGCCTAAATTTTAAGTGTATGCCTGAATTTTCATCATGTGTTGCTGAAATGCCCATATACCATGCAATGGATATAAATCTTCAAGTCCCTTTGTTCTGCACTGCTGTAATTTTGAACATTTGCTGAATGAACAGTTGTTAAGGAAGGACTGCCTGCAACTACTTTATGCTGTTGCCAAGAAAGTGACATAACCATATCCATACATAAGAAGTCAAGCTCCATACAAAGGAGGCTTTTGTTTTCTGTCATACTTAATGTACGCATAGGATAAAGTAGTATACTTTGTCTTTAAAATTATAAATTGGACCTAAAAATGCTAATGTGATCTCAGCAAATTACAATTTAAAAAATTACAGTTTAATCTCTACTAATGAATTAATGATTTCTTTCCCTTGCTACTTTTAACTACTTATAGGAACTTTATTTTACATAGGTAGCAGGGCTTTGTTGTGCTTTAGATTTGATCTCTAAAATCTACACAACCTTAATAATCATTGTAAAAAAATAGACTCAAAAAACCAAAAGGAAGCAAAGCAAAATCACTCCTACTCAATTGTGATCCAATGTATATGTAATTGGGGGAGGCATTTGTAAGCATAGTGTTTACTATTGACTAAATAATGTATGATTAAACCACCTTATCTCGTGTTTATCTTGCCTGTTTATGTATCAGAAACAAGTGTTCATTAAAGTTTAAGAGTCCTGGGGAGGAATGTTGCTATGCTTTCATTGGAACTGTATAATTCCCACATTCTGTCTGTGACACACTGTAATTTAGATTTTGAATAAGCCAGATACATGGTGTAGTTAATCTATACCGTTTGATCAATCCAATTCCTTTTCCTTTATAATATAACAAGCTAATTAAGGTCAGTTAAATATAATCATTTTCTTAAAAATGAGCAGACTAGTAAGAATGGCATGGACTTCAATTCTTTAAGTACCTCTGTATAATCTTCAGGTGTAGCTTGAGGCTTTGACTCATCTAGACATATTACAAATAAGCTACGCTGTATTTTTTCCAACAGAGATAGGTTCTTTGGATGAAGTCTGATAAGATGATTACGTGTCTAAGAGGGAAACAAAACAATTATTAAAATAAAACGTATCAATCTGCACCAAATGTCTTTAAAAAAAAAAAAAAAGTCCAAACCTTTGCCCATGAGGTTCTTTCTTCAGATGTTAAGGCAGCCAATCCTGGCCCTTCAGGTTCATTCCCACATTTATTCTTAATATAGGAAAGTTGTCTGCAAATAATATAAATACCAAGTAAAAAATACTTCGCGTTTCCAATGAAAACTATCATGTAAGACAATTTTTTTTGGGGGGGGGATTTAAGCCAGCATTTCAGGTAATAAAGACTGAAAATAAATCAAGTTTCCATGTCCTTATTAATTAAATTGAATAGTCATCTCTTCTGTAAGTTATTTATCAAATATTAGAAGTACTACAGATAAAATTAGTGTCCTTTATTAGCTATAGTGATCTTCTTTGTTAGAGATTCTATGCAGAGAATACTCAGATTATAAAAATAAAAAAGTTGGAGGTGTGCATATATACTATACATGAAAGAAAGATGAAAGAGCTTATTAACTACATCACAATTTCTCCAAGTAGATAACTATTTTTCCTTAACAGAGTTGCCATGTGGGAGGTTCAAGTCCAGTCACCAATGAATTGAATTAAAATGATGTTTCAGCAAACAATGCAGCATTCCCTCTCCCATTCATTTTCATATTTAGGTTATTTCAATTCAATAAATATGTTTAACAATCATGAAGCAGTATCTTGGTTTTAAGATGTATCCTTGTTTAATGCTGCATAGAATTATTTTAGGAAGTTGGGAATTATAAGTATTACATTCCTTTCATTTTTTAAGTTGGGAAACAAAATTCTCAGCTGACTTTTATCATTTCCCCCTCATACGCTGAGTGGGAGGCAATGAAACGAAAGGCACTCTAGAAATGAACTTTTTAAGAAGCATAAAACTATTTTAAAAAGGATAATTGACATTTAACTGTATTTAATAAAATGAAGCTATAAAATGCTATTAGACCTAAAAAGAAAACATTGAATTATAGTAATGTAGCAAGAATGCAATATATATTATACTTAAGTATAAATGGAAGTAATCTTAAATATTAATTCAAAACTGAATATATAGCATCTCCATCTCTGGTTTTATACAGAAGCCGTTAAATTCCATCAATTTTCATTGATTACTTCTTTCTATAGAACATATTTGGAATATCAGTATAATTACATTTAATGTAAAATTTCTATAGAAAAATCCATAAAGTAGCAGGTTGTTTTTAGAAAGTATTCTAAACATACCTAAAAATTTCTGGTGGGCTCAACATTTGACCATCATGTAAACTATCAAATTCAAAAATTCTTCCTTCACAGAGCACTATCAAGTGAGATGGACATTCACCTTCATTCTCTGGAAGAAAAAGTTTAATTCATTTATACTGCATCTTCACTGTTTAAAAGCAGGATGGTAATTATCTGCAAGCATATGAAACAGTGTTACAGGTAGTCCTCAACTTAAGACTAGTTGTGCAATGGGACAGACGTTTTGCAGTCCATAAAGCATTTCTGATTGTCGTAAAATGTGGCACACCCAGACAAACCATGATCATGCGACTGTAGTTCAGGTGCTTGGCAACCGGCTAACCTTTAAACTGGGTTTGCTGGGTCCCATTGTCACATAGCTGCGATTTGCAGCAGTTTTTTCAGGTTCCCAGCAAAAATGGTCATTCGGAAGAATGGGTTCGCACCATGGGTTTGCTTAATTACCATGGTGATTCACTGCAAAAAAATATCATAAATCAGGTCATGTCATGTGAGTGACTTGATCTACAACTGTAACAACATACGGCCAGAAATCCAGAACCAATTGCAGTATTAAGTTTAGGACTACCTGTTTTTTCCTTGCTTACCAGCTGGATTGCAAAAAAAATGTACTTGTTTTTCAACTGTTAATAATGCAACTAAAACAAAAATTCTGAATATGTGCAGTGGGAAAAAAGCTTTAGCTATTGTTCTCCCCATAGAATTTCATCTTTAACTAGATGTTTTTCACTCCACAAAAAAAAAATTTTTTTTTTAAACCATGCGCACTAAGCTGGTAGCAAACAGAGTGAACAAGCTGTATACACAGAACACAGTACCCTGATAAGAAGTTCAAAATTCTGATTCGGTTGTGTGCAAACACAATTATTATTGGATATAAGTACAAATAGCAATAGCACTTAGATTTATATACTGCTTCACAGTGCTTTACAGCCCTCTCTAGGTGGTTTACAGAGTAAGCATATTGCCCGCAACAATCTGGGTCAAATGAAAGTGCAGTTGAAAGTTCAGAGTGCTATAAAATTACTTTTATATTTAGAAGGCAGTACTGAAAGTTCAACACTTGTTTTGAGTAAAACACAGAAAAAGCGTCATTATACAATTTAATGCTTTATATGCCAATTTAAAAATTAAATTCCACTGTATTCAATTAAACAGAAGTAGCATGGTTAGGATAATCATCTTCAAGTTTTGGTTTTGGTGGGCATGGAGAAGTAATATTGTTTATTACATTTATATACCACTTTTTAGTACAGATTCCCCAAATGTCTTACAATTATTAGAATTATAGCAGCCTACATAGATGAATGTATCATAATTTATGCAGTAGCTAATGGCTTGGTTTACAAGCCAGAAACACACGAGTGCAGCTCCTCTTGCATAAGCGGTAGGCGCTTGCAGCTCCATTTGTGCAAACAGTGGGCATATATAAATAAATATATAAAATTTTCAGTTAATGCTGTGAAAAATTTCAGCAGACATAAAAAGAGGGATGGGTCTCAAAGCAAAGGCCTAAGAAGTTCTGTGCCAGTGCAGCTGAGATTTTAACCAGGGGTGGTGGTGTCAGATCTCTTTCTCAGTGATTATCCACATCTTTCTAATGGCAGATGCTTTGTTAACAATTTTAGGAATTGTACATCTAATTATGTCTTTTATCCATATCCAATAATTTAGGCTTCATAAATTTGTACTTAGCTATCCTGATACAAAGTGGTATTCCTATCTAATTCCAATGAAAACTTTGCTACATGTTAGATTTATACGGAATTCCTTATTGGCTGCAGCATATATTACATCTGCCCTCCAGTCACTCAGCACTGTCCTCCATTGCTATTTTGCTTTTTGATGTTGAACTAACATGATACCTGGATTCTTCACAGAACTGCTTGTGTAACAACTGACTGGCACTTTTTGAACTGCAAGTCAGGTTTTATATGAGCTCCTTATTAATACATAATTACAGATCTGTTAGAAAACATATCATCAGGGGCTTCTGGGAAGAAATAGCAAACTGTTTGCGGAACCAACAACCACAGCAGAATGAAGAGCCAGCATGCAGACTGGCTCTAAGTAATTCTCCATTACATATAGAAAGGCCTTGAGATCACCGACAAGTGCTCTAGACAGTGGCTCCCTTGTGAGATCACAAGACAGCACAAGTCTCTGGTGGGTTGAAAGCTCTATGAGAAAATAACCATTATGCTCAAACTCTGGTCAGCACCTTTAGTACACTGGATTTGCATGTTTCCTTTTCTAATCATTTTTTTTTTTAATCTCTTGTGGACTACTTTTCAGTTAAACCTTTGGATTAACACACTTTCTGCATTAGATGAGTTTCTTTCAATCCTCAATGAGAGAGGTTCCAATTATACCTTTAAAGACTTAGAAAATTAAATAAAATTAAGACTAATTTTCTACACAGGTTAAATTCACCAGCAAGACAATATTTTTTGCAGTATATTTTGTCCACTGCTTCTACTAACAAGGGGACATGCTTTTACATTATTTTTAATTTGTTAGAGAACCCCATTATTACTGTTACAGACTCGTTCATTCACTGCCTGAATTTGTTCACCACAGTGTTAGAGGCATTAGTTGCCATGGTGCTGGTGATTATACATAGGGTCAGTTGCAATCATGTCCGACAGCACTTCTGGAAGCTAATACCTATGGCATGAAATCAAGAATGGATATTAGTAACTGCCACTTGTTAAAAGGTCTAGGTACTCACTACTCTACTGAACAGTAGTCACTGTGGGAATGGAGTGGAAAGATTGTTAAAAAGACTGCCAGCAAGACCATCATTTTAAATGCTCTCCATAGCACCTTGAATGAAACAAAACAAATTAAGCCAACACACTTTTGGGCCACATTACGGATTAGAATAAAATGTGTAAAAGTAACTTGCCTAGTGATCCACAAATATTATTGCCCTGCTGTGCATTTTTTATTGAAGGAAAGTGTGAAAAAATCTTCAGCCCTTTTATTATTTTTTACAACCAGACTAGTTAAGGAAGCAGGCTATTTGTTTGTTTCCAGGTATTCATACAACATACTAAATCCTGGCTCAAACTGTACTATCTGTACTGTAATGAGAGCAATTACTTCCAATAAACTCTTATTTTATATTTGTTTACAATGCCTACTGTATGAAGTGGTATACAAGTCTAAATGCTATTGCTAGTAAGGTTTCTAAGCTCACTACAGGGGTGTCAAACTCAATTTCATTGAGGGTCACATCAGGGTTGTGCTTGACCTCAGGGGACCAGGGTGGGCGTGGTCAGTTTGATATCACTTGTGTCATGGGAGCACCTGTGTCATATGGGAGCACCTGAGTGCTCTGCCGAAAAGCTCCATTTTCGGCTGCTGCAACCTGCAGGAGGCTGTTGCAGCCGAAAACAGAGTCTGAAAACATGGCCCTCCCGAGCTCCGTTTTCACTGGCAGAGGTACCACAGGCCAGTCCTTTGCTATTTTCAGGGCCCCACAAGCCGGAGCTAAGCACCCCATGGGCTGAATCCGATTGCCAGGCCTTGAGTTTGACATCCCTGCTCTACTAGGTTTTATTCCCAAGTATGTGGTTTAGACTGCAAACTAAATATACCTGTTGACCATCCATATGTATGGATAAACATTACATATACTACATTGAAACCACTTTCTTTCATTCAGAAAAAATAATCATTTACCTGTTTTGAAATAATTAGCAATGGAATCTTGAACAATGCCTGGCACCTTGCAAGTGCAAAAAAGCATTCGAAATTGATCCATGTCCAGGGGCTTAAGGCCAGACATATGTACAGCCAATGTTTCCCTATAAGAAAATTAATATGTAAGATATTGAAGCTGCACGGCTAAGCATAAATTTATAACCAGGACCTAAGAAAATACTATATTTCAATATGTTTCAATACTATATATTCTCAAAGGCCTATGATGTCTTTCCATATAATGTGACATAGGCACTCAAATCACAAGTTTCTTGGATGAGAAACGAAACATCTTTAAAGGAAAACCAGAAAGTTCAGTTGCCTCTTGAAAAAGCACCTTTGAGACAACCTTGACCTGGATGACAGAGAATCTCCATAGACATCCAAGTCACAATTATTTATTCTTTTTAAAGCACTACAGAAATACCCACTATTCTCTCAGGCTATTATGCTTATGCTTAATTAAAAACAATTTCAGAAGCTTTAATTTGAAAGAAGACCGTAATGTGCTTGGCTTTTTTCCTTATTAGAGTTCCAATGGTTTGATTTTATAGGTGTTAAAAATAAATGTGAGTTTTTGTAGAGTTGTACCAATTAACAAGATATAAAATTCCACTCTAAACTTATAAATGAAATTAGCAATATTAACTCATAATAACATAACAAGTGACCATAAATAACTACAATGACTACATTGTGATTTTGTATTTCTTACTTTCTCATTTGTTCCCAGAATTTTAAGATGTGCCAAACACTTATGGATGTTCTTTCTATCTGAGTCCCTTCTTTAACTGGCCAATAATGTTCAATATAAGAACCTGGTCCTCCAAAATTGTGATAGATTTGTGTTGATAAACGAGTTTCAAGATAGGCCGTATTCAGCCACCATTCTTCCAACTGAAAAGAAAAAGCAATTAACAGCAAAGGGAATCCTTAATATGGTTATTTGTTAAGTTCAGGTTCTATCCCATGGCTTACATTAAAAGCAAAGCGCGAAGCATTTGGTATAACAAAGAAATGTTACATATATGATGTTCAAACAGCAACCCTTCATCCTACACTACAGAACAGATAAAACTTAAAATAATCCTAAAATGATTTCAGATCTATTCAAAGAAAAATATTTCTAGTGAGATTTGCTCTTTTGAAAAGCAAAGTTTGCTAGTGAATTAGATTCTGCTAATGTGGTTTTTTTCTCTCTGACATTCAATATCATAAGAACTAGAACCGAGACAGGATTCTACTCAGACAAGGCTTGCTGAAATACTACAATAACTACAGTGGCTGAATTATAATAAATAAAGCATGGCTTACAAATGTCAATTGCAAGTTCACAAACATATTATGTCAAACCAACAAGCCCACATTATATAATGTGTAACTGTCAATATATTCTTATTCCTATACATTGTGACTGGGAAAAATGGCTTTCTTAAAAGCATACCCAATTCCTCTTCACTGCAGCCCTTTCAAGTAATTTTTTATGCAGCTCCTTTCCAATGCCATTCTCAAATCTTCTGACTATGTCTCGAGTTCTTTGATACTCTTCTTGGTTTAGGAAAGGTTTCACTGCACAATATAAATGATTGAAAATATGTTTTAAACACATTTACTTCTCTACTTCAAGTGGCATTAAGGCTTCCATCTTTTTTATAAAGCAAATTTCAAATAAACAAAATTTATAGAGATCGCATATCATTTGGAACTTATTTCTAGCTCTCAAACAGAAATAGATACAGGTCATATAGGTAAAGGTCTCCCCTGTCCAGTCATATCTGACTCTAAGGCAGTGGTGGCAGAGACCGAGTGCCCAAACTGCAACCCAGAACCCACTTATTTACTGCAACGTGCCAACACGGCAATTTAACCTGAATAATGAGGTTTTACTATCTAAAATAATGATAAACTAATTGTTCTAAGAAAGATGTGATAAATGCACTTTTATGCCCCTTCATTTTTTTTCTGCTTTTGAAATATTACATTTAGCAATAATAAAAAAGGAAAACGTTTTTAATATTTCTCTTTCCCTCCCTCTCCCCCCTTCTCTCTTTCCTTTCCTCTATTCCCCCCTCTTTCTCTTCCCCTCTCTTTCCCTTTCTCGCTCTCTTTCTCCCTCTTTCTGCTCCTCTCTCTCCCTTTCTCTTCCTCTCTCTTTTCCACTCTCTCTCTTTCTCTTTCCCACTTTCTTTCTCTTCCCCTCTCTTTCTCTGGGTTTCTCTCTCACTCCCTCTCTTGATCTGTTTCTCTGTGTGTGTGTTTCCCTCCCCCTTCTATCTCTCTTTCCCTTCCTCTCTCTATCTCCCCCCCCCTCTTTTTCTCTCTCTCCATTCCCAGTGGGTGGGTAGGAACCCCTGACTGGTGCTGGGTGGTGGAAATCTGAGGTCTGGAGGCCGATAAGCCCAGGAGCAGCATGCTGAAGCTCAACTGGCTGGTGGGGAGGTAGGGCATCCCAACACTAGCAGCTCGGCAGGAAAAGAAACTGACATCGGGGAGGCCAGAATGAGCCTGCGTTAAATTTCACTGTGCTGTGCAAGTGCTGTAAGAGTACAGGGCAGGCCAGGGAGCAGTAACAGGAAATGTATCGCAAACAGGGTGTAATACTATTTCACACTTTTTTTAGTCCCTCAAACTTTAGTTTCCCTGCAAACGATGGCAAGAAACATGTCAGAGAAACGCAATGGAGCTGAGCAGGACGTGTGTGCCCACAGAGGGGGATTTGTGTGCCACCTCTGGCACGCCTGCCATAGGTTCACCATCATGTCTCTAGAGGATGGTGCTTATCTCCGTTTCCTAGCCAAGGCAGCCAGCATTGTCCGAAAATGCTTCCACAGTCATGTGGCCAGCATGAATATACACTGAAGGTGCACAGAACAGCGTTACCTTCCCATTGAAGTAGTATCTATTTATCTACTTACATTTGAAAGCTTTTGAACTGCTACGCTGGGGCAAGTAATAGGAGCTAATCAGTAGTAGGTTGCCAATTTTTTTACTACCAGTTTGGGTGCACATGCGCAGAAGTGTCCAGGTGGTGGGTGGAGCCTCCCACCACTGCTATTACCAGCTTGCTCGATCTGGGCCGAACCGGGAGCAACCCGCCTCTGGAGCTCACCCATTGCGTGGTGCTCAGGTCTTGAACCCAGGTTTGTCAGCTTTCCAACTGACAAGCTCAGCATCTTTAACTGCTGAATCATCATATTTGCCTTTTGTAGCTTTTTCTTTTTTAACTGGTAAAATAAACATTGCAACCTGAACATGTATGTCAGTTATCTCCTTAATAACTCAAGGTTACTAAAACTGAAATAGAAACATGTCCCAGAAAATTTTATCCAGCATTTCAATTGGCAATTTTCCATACAGGACTCTACAGATAGGAGGTCAAGTTCCAAAGGAAAGAATGTATCAGACATGCATTACAAAACAGTTCTTAGAAATTTGAAGAGGATTGCTTATAGAGCATTAATGTATTTTTAGATTAACAGCTTTTAGCAACAGCTGGAATAAAATTGTGTTTGGTAAAACTAAAATTTTAGTCCATCAATTTTCCATTTACGATAATTGCTACAACAGTTAGAAATGAAAAACATCTTAGATCCAGCTTTTCATAACAACATGTTGCAAGGATTCACAGGCTTTGCCGTTGCAAAACTTAGACTGTGACAAAATGACTTCATTCAGGGCCAGTTTGGTCTAGTGGTTAAAGCCCCAGACTAGAAACCAGGAGACTATGAGGTCTAGTCTCTTTTTTAGGCCTGAAAAGCAGCTGGGTGACTGTGGGCTAGTCACTCTTGCTCATCTCACAGGGCTGCTGTTGTAGGGAAAATGGGAGGAGGAAAGACTATTAGGAATGTTCACTTTCTTGAGTTACTTACAAAAATATTAAAACATTTTTTTAAAGCTAAATAAATAAAGTTTCTCATTATAAAGAGAATGAGATGAAATTGTTATCTAATATTATGAATATTAATATTAATAAAAGTGAGGTGAAACTCACTTTTCAATAGCATTTTTAACTGCAGTCTATATAAAAATAAAAATTGTGCAAGAATACATTCCTGATACCCTTCAATACAGGGATTAAGGCAGTGGGATTTCCTGTGGTGGTACAGTTAAGAAACATGAAAGTGTTCCCATATATTATTACCAGCTACAGAAGGCACAGATCTATAGAAAAGATTGCTAGTTTCCACCCCAGCCATATTCTGGAGATAGAATCAAAAGCAATTTTCAAGTCAATGAAAGTATTGTAACGTACATACCTGCATCTAGATATTTCGTTAGGGATTCATCAAGAGGAGGAACTGGCAGTGAAGGCAAGGAACTCTGATGATGAAATGTACTTATTTCAGAAGAATCAGTTAACTGGTTTTCCATTATGATGATCTATGGCAAGTAATAACATTTTTCATTTTGACATTTGTATTACTGTAATTTTATCTTTTAATCTTTACATCATGTATATTATGTATAAGGAAGCATGAAGAAAAGTTAGTTTATGTTTATATAGCTTTCATACACAGGGATACATAAACAATTCCGATTATATCTGTAACACACACACACACACACACACTCCATCTGGTCCGCTTTTTATATAATAGTTAAATTTTGCTTTAATTCTACTAGTGTTTAATATGGACTCAATTACAGTGGCAATGAATGCATTGTTGGTAGACTTGAAAAAACAGGTAAGGGATAGATCTTCTTTGAGAAAATCTAATTATGAACAGGTAATTACGAGCATTCCCTTAGTAACGTTCCAAGTTACGTGATAAATGCCCTCTAGCATTTACGAACAAATCCCGAAATTATGAATATTGCAGCATCACGGCAGTTGTTCACCCTTGCAAGGCTCTGCAACATTCACCCCACCTATTCCCCAGCTTTTCACAGGAACTTCTCACTTATCTTGCAAAGATGATCTCTGTCGCAGTTTCTTTGTCTGCATTTGCATAGAAGAGAGGCCTAATGTACCACGAGATCTCATGCCACTTATCTCGTGTAACCTCGCACTTTAGGCCTCTATTCTCTGACAATTGTGACCAGGATATTTGCAAATGGATGCAAGGCTTCGGTCGTTCAGGCCTTCTCTCTGTCTGTCATTTTCTTGTCAAAGCCTGCAGGGAGATTGTATTGCTGTAGGCTTTGGCAGCCCTTTGCAAAAAGGCTTTGTTGGTACCAGTAGAGGTTGGGAGGAGCCCTCCAAAGCCCTGTGTTCTGACCTAGGCTTTCTGAGACAGTAAAAAGCACACATTTAGTCCCAAAAATCCTCTTTTTATTTCAACAGCTGTAAATTATGTTCATTCACAGCCTATAATGAGCTAATTGACAAGCCACATGCAGCAGAGTCAAAATGGAGCTTCAGACTTTAAACCGACCAGTTGCTTCCTGCAAAGGCTCACATGCCTTTGCTCCTCCTTTATGTCTTATGGGAGGGGCCAATCATCTTCAAGCCTTATTCCCAAGTCACTCCTTTTGTCCTACCTGTTCTTGCCTTCTGGCAGCTCTGCACATGCACGCACTAGGAACAGGCTCCACCCGTTCCTCTGCCTCACTTATGTCCAACTCTGGAGGCTCCGGAGGCAGCAGATAACTCCCAGATGGCTCTAGCCCCCTCTCTGCCTCTGACGCAAAGCCCTTGTCCAAGCCTTCCCCATACTCTAGGACAGGCCCGTGATCCTCCTCAACCTCCTCACTGTCCGACTTTGCTGCAGCTCTGCAGGCTGCCGGCAGACCACAACATCCTGTTCTTATCGGCGAAGGCTTTTCCCAAAGGACTGCTGAAGCATACAGGGATGCAATCCTCATATGCTTTGCCAGTGAGAAAGCAGCCCCAAAAGGCTGCTTGTGGCATTCTGCGGCTGCTTTCTCACTGGAAATCAGCTTGACAAGGCCTCTGGCACCAAGAAAGCAGCCGCAAAAGTCCACATGTGGCCTTACAGGGCTGCTTTCTCAGCACCAGAGGCCTCGTCAAGCCCTTTGCTGACGAAAAAGGAGGGAACAGGCAAACAAACAAGCTGAAGGAGACAAATCTTCATAAGATAAGTCACCCGCCATGACAAAGTGGGCGGGGGGACAATTGTGGTGACCACAGGGGAGGGAGAATGAGGTATCTGTGGTCAGGGAGGCCTTGGGTTGTCTGAAGTAGGTGGCCTGTTCCCTCACTAGGCCCCCTAAGTCTTTTCCCCACCCCAAGATAATGTGCATTTAATGAGCCACACATTGGCCCACGCATTCAATGGGTGAAAACAGGCAGTGAAGTCGTTCAAGATACAAGATTCACTCCCATGATTCTCAAGTTACAGATGGAATGGTCAGGCTCTATTACGTTTGTAACTCAAGGACTATCTTAGTCACTAGGAGTAAAAAAATTACTTGATTGCACATAATCATCATAATTAATCATCATCTTCAAGAGTGCTGTGTAGGATCAGATCTCTACATCTACAATTAGCAGCTTCAGAAAAACAGACAATACTCCGTGCAATTCCTTAAAATTTTACAAGAAAGACCACAAGTTTCCTCTTCTGCAAGTTAGCAAATTAAACAGCTTTTCTTTTCAAAAAGTAGAAATCAGTATTAATTCTGCTGGTATAGTTAAAAGTTCAAAGTCACACACTCATGACATTTGATCACATTTCATCAGGTCTGCAAATAGATATTATTTGATTAATAGGAACAATAGTTCAAAAAAAATTTAAACAAGCATTTTATCATTACAGGTCTTAACTGGAAAATATTTTACCATTTAAACTGTGTGTGCCATTATTATTTTTTATTTTTATCTATTTTTGTATAAACTTACATAAAGGTGCAATTTAATTACAGAATAACATATAGTTTTTTGATAATACATTTTCATGTGTCTTTGAAGTTCATTTTTCTTTTTATTTTTTGCATATATCTATTTTTTTCTTACTATCAATGTAAATGTTATAAAAACTACTAGAGAAAATTGCCTGGCAACTATAATAAAATTAGTACTTTCGATGTATTTACACTAATTGTTTCATGTTGAAAAGGCTTACTATAATTGCTTTCTTCATTATTGCTCTGCTCCTGCTGTTCTCTATTATACAATTTCAGAGTCTCTGCATCCTCCAAGGTAGGCTTTATGTCTTGCTGGTTTAAAACTACTAAATTCCCACTATTCATTTTCTCTTATTTTCTTCCTAATTTCAAACATGGAGCATATGTCAAATTTTATATTGTTTTTGTAATCCAAAGTTTCAGAATTTTCTATAACCCAGAAATTAATAAAAAATATCTATAAATGCTAGGAGCAGTTACTGGGGAAAAAGCATTATTCTTCTAAGAATACTGCATCTTGGTCAAATACAAACACTATGTTTTAAACTTGAAGCATTTACCTTTATTCAGAGTAGCTTTAACTATTAAAATGCTGCAATTCATAAAAATCTATATCAAATAATCAATATAACCATATTGCTCATATATAAATATGAATATTTTATATTCATAAAATAGCAATGCCCCTTAGCTGGGGCACAAAGTATTGCTATTTTATGAATCTGTAAGTTGTAATTACTGTAGAGTAAGAATGTGCACATTATGGTTTTTGTCTCCAAGTCATGTGCTACATGCTCAAATTAAGGAAGTGCCATAGTGTTTTCAGCAATATATTGCATTTACATTAGAAGAAACCTTTGTCCCAATTCTCTTTATGCCCTTTGTTTACCAGTAATGCACTCAATAGCCCTACCCAGTTTCACTGCTGCTTATCATGGTGCATTAAGAGTTCAGGTGTGCTTATCCAGGAGAATTAGGAAATGCACCTGTGGTGTTACAGCTAAACTTATTCTGCCACATTATTACAATGTAAAGGGGTGAAAAACACAAAAAAGCCCACAATCTCTGCTGAGACTGCATTCATTTAAAGTTCCTCCACTTTGTGCCTTCCCCACAGATTCTTTAATTGCCCATCCTGGCTAGATGGCTCAGTGACTAAAGGCGCTGAGATTGTTGATCAGAAAGGTCGGTGGTTCGAATCCCCAGTATAGGTCTCCAGTGTGAACAGGGGGTTGGACTAGATGACCTCCAAACTCCCTTCCAACTCTGTTACTGTTAATCTAATCCTGATTTAGGATTGAAAGAAACACATTTGGATTGCCTCACATTGTTAAACACGATCTTAGTATTATTCCAATTGATCTCATGAACTTTTAGGGAGTCAGCTCAGAACAAAGTTTCTTAAAAGTTTTTTTTTCTCTCAGGACCCCTTTCCCACTGTTAAAAAGCATGAAAAGTTCCAAAAGAGCTTTGGTTTGCATACACTGATATTTCCCATATTAAACATTAAAACTGAGCCCACATTTGCTGCCACTTCTGACAGTTCAATGGGATTTTAATACCACTGTATTTTTCAACCCAGGCTGGGAAATAATTTTGATTGCGGAGCCCAGGAAAGGCTCTTGGGGCGGGGTGGGGGAGAATTCAAATTCCTTGCATTATTTATTTATTCATTTTTTAAAAAAAACACCGCTCTACTCCATAGGGAAAGAACCCATATTTTTAAGGCAAGCTATGCCCGAGGTAGTAGTCGCGAGACCTTTATAGTTAGTTCTTCCATGGTAAATATTGTCAACGGGAGAGTTAACTTTTTATTTATTTAATTTGTTTATACTCAACAACGCCCAGCGTTTTCCTGCGTTCTACCATTAAGGACACGAAGCTCCGTCTCTGAGCCTTCGTACAAAGCGCATTTTGTTGCCAACAAACTGAGGACGCTCTACCAGGTTCAGTCCCCCAGAAACTGACGGGTGGAGTGCGAAAGTTAAGGCGACGTCAGAAAGAAAAGCAGAGTAATAACGACCCCCCTTCGGCCAAAGGGCCCTGGAGAACTAGTGCCGAAGACAGGGGGGCGCTTCCCCCCCCCCCCCCACTACGCCGAAGCCTTTCCCTGCTCGCAGTCCCGCTGGCGGTTTGGCGTTTCTAACCCCCACCCGGGTTCAGGTCAGACTCCGCTGAGCTGTTCAATAGGTTCCCCTCACCTTGTCTCTTGCCTTCACGGCGCCCGTCAGTCTTCTCCAAGGCCTTTCGGCGCGTCTCTTCAAGTTCAGTCAAAACAGCGCCTGAGGAGGAAGCAAACGACTCCTCCCTTTCTTCTCTTCCTCCTCTTCTCTGCACTTCTGCGCTACATTTAAACTAACGCGAAAGGAAGGCGAGGAGGAAGCGCCTGCTGGCGGCCCGGCCCTCTTTGGCGAGACCAAAAGGGCGGAGGGGAGACGGAGAGGGCTTTCAAAGTTTCTCCGCAGCCCATGTAGAGCCACAGGTTACGGATGCCGTACTCTCGGCTTTAGTGGCCTGAATGAGGGCTAGGGATTAACTGCGACCCTCATTTTGTCCACGAGAACGTTTTTCAACCTGCCTAACTTTTTAAGATTGAAGGACTCCAACTCCCAGGATTCTCCTAATAACTCAGGCTGGCTGAGGGATTCTGGGAGTTGAAGTTCATATAGGAATAGCACTTAGACTTATATATCGCTTCATTGTGATTTACAGCCCCCTCTAAGCGGTTTACTGAGTTAGCATATTGTCCCCAGCAATTTCCTCATTTTACCCACCTCGGAAGGATGGAAGGCTGAGTCAACCTTCAGTCTGGTGAGATTCCATCTGCCAAAGTGTGTGTAGTTGCCCAAGTTGAAAAAACATTTCTCTTAGGACTAGGTGGTTTCAATCAGGAATTGACAAATCTAATCCTCCTAATTTTAAATTCTGTCAGATGATAGGCTACCCTGCAATCTATCTCTGCAGAACAGGCAAGCATCATTCTTACTAGAGAGCATTTGGGTTTGGATGTTACAGTAGTATTAAAATTAAGAAAGCAAGGAGGCTTGGCTCTTGGAACATCACAATTTCAGCTGGCATCCACCAGTTAAATAACAAATCATATCCATCTATACAAAACCAATTTGTGGATAAGTGGTCCCAAGTTTATTTTATTTATTATACAAATGTATATGGTGCCTAACTAACAGGGGACTCTGGATGGCTTATAACATTGAAACTCCACAACATATTTCCCACTCTCCCTTCATAGCTGCAGCAATGCAATTATTAGTTATTATATAAATATATTAAAAACTGACCATAGAATCAAAGCTGAAGCATTAATAGGATTACTAGATACCCATAACCTATATAATCTATGCTCACATCATCTTGATGGCATAAAATGTTCCCTAGAAATACTTCCAAAAACAACTTTACAGCATGACAGATACTCTATATTAAAAAGTATAGCGGTATTATTTAAGGCACGGTATTTAATAGTATAAAAAGGCTACAGGGGTATTCATTAATTTTTATATATCTTCTGATAATATAGCTGCTTAATCCTGAGTAAAAATATGGCTGCTTTCAAGAGTGGCAGAGAGATGCTACAATCACATACTCAGTACCACCTTTTGAAATCAAATTTAAGGAATGGTATAATAGTTACCAAATATAATTACCTATAGTAATTAGCACTCCTTTATATAGTTATTATTTATATATTTATTTAGCACATGGTATACTAGGTCAGGGAGCCTACAATGTTAAGCACACAGTAGAAGTTCTGACGTTGGTTATACTAGTTACACCCGTGCACCACAAGGGGGTTAACTAGTTTCACACCTGATGGACTGCAGCTTTCTCAAAGGAAGTTGGTTCATTCAGGGGTTTTCTTCCACTGATCTTCTGCCGATCACGTCCGGGAAATACAACACAGTTTCAAGCTTCCCACACAGAATGCACCCAGCATTTTCTGGTAATGGCGGTACCTATCCATCTACTCGCAAGCAATACTTTCTAAATGCCAGGTGAGTAGGTTGGCAGGAGCTAGGGAAAAGAGATGGGAGCTGGGCTCAAACCATTGGAGTGCTCCAATTGCTCACTACATTGTCATTAAACCTCTGTTCTATCATATCCCCACCACCCTTTGTTTATATATTGTAAAGATATAGTGGTGTTTCATTGTATCTGTTAAACAGTATGATCAGAAAGCTACATAGAATATAGCATTTGGCACAAGAATATCTAAACTTTCAGTAATATTAAAAATAAGAATTACACTGAATCAATTCAATATTTATTAACATTATTAACATTATAACATTATACCAGTCATTACTATATTGCAAGTAGGAGAAGTATTTTTAAAAGTAAATAAACTTTTATAAATACATAAGCACACTTCTTTTATTTTAATATCTGTATTTCTTGAAAGTATGGACCAAAAAGAAATAAAAAAGAACTTATTTGTTAACTGGCCATTAGTTCAGAGTCTTGCTTTCAATTTTTGCATCCATTTACATAAAATATTTAAATATGTTTCATCTCATGCTTAATTTAAGATTCAATAAAGGTACTTCATTTTGTAACATTGCAAAAGTGTTTTCATGGTGTAATATGTTTAAAATATGATCATAAGCTCAAGTCTATATGCTTTAAGCATGTTACAAAATCATAGAACAAATTTTGTCTGGATTTGATTTAAAATATCAGAAGAATGATTTGGAATAAATATTTATTTAAATAAGGTTTGCCTGTGTGAGGATAGTTACAGAGAAAATAGGGCATAGAGGGTTTGTTTTATAGTTAGACTGGTACTTGCTGTGGGTTTGGGGGTTTGAGGTATATGTTGGTTCTAGTGTGTGATACTTGAGGGGTGTGAGATTGCATACGTGTTGACTCGGAGTAACAATGTAGATTGAATCTCTTCATTTGAATTGTGGGCATTATAATTATGTTTATATTGTATAAATTGAGTTGTGTTTGTTTGTGTGTGGGATCAAATATGGATCATCTTGTTTTGTGTTAATGCTTTGTATTTTTCTGTTTGCTTGTGTGTGTTTACAATTTAAAATGTTTAATTCTTATGTTTGCTCTGTTTAAAGGATTATTATATGATCACTTAACAGTTTTGCCAGGAAACTTTTGCAACTGGAAACTATGTATATTTATATACTATTTATTGTTGTCGCTCATAACCATATCTTTTTTCTATTTGTAACATAATAAGGAAAACATATTTAGGAAGAGGTGTTAATTAACATTGTTAGAAGCAAAACATTGTGCAGTGGTTAATAGCATGATTCAAGCTATGCAATCCTTTGTTCTGTGTAATAATTATTGTAGGAGAAAAATATTTTTTCTCATAAAGGGTAAAAAGTGTAAATCCAAGCCCAGTTATTCCAACAAGTTACAATCCTCACAATTTGCCCCATAGTTTTCCACAAAGTATTCCTTGGAATTTCACCTGATGAAATTCACCAATATCTTATTTAGCCATATGCATTGTGGATACATGGTACATCTAGAATAAATGTACATATTATAGCATACCAATAGTTAGATATATACAGATAAATACCCCCTTTTTCACCATCCCCCTGTATCTTTAACTTAACATAAAGTGAGTTCTAGTATGAATTCAGTTGTTCGGTGATGGTCTGAGCATCTGTGGTAATCAGATCAGGGGGGTGCGTTTGTTTGGTGAAAGCTAATCGCGTCCAGTTTTCTCTAGCTTAGAGAATTCTTTCCGAAATAACTGCAATGTCTTCTGATACATTTCTATTGAAATCTATTGAACAAAAAAACAAACATTGGCCATTATATTGGGGGAGCCATGGCTCTATTAACACTCACAGGATTCTATACATTGTACTGCCAATGTTACTGAGTGCCATTCCATGTTGCTATTGGGCATTTTTCAGGTCTGTTCCTGTAGCTCTCTTAGCTACGTTCACAAACAAGGAAGATTATTCTGTCCACATATGAGGTATGCAAAGTTTCACTTGGGGGAAAGTTCTCTGTTAGACATTGATTGGGGGATGTCAACAAATCATGGATCTCTCAGCTGCGTTCCCCAACAAGTAAGATTATTCTGTCCACACATGTGGTATGCAAAGTTTCACTTGGGGGAAAGTTCTCTGTTAGACATTGATTGGGGGATGTCAACAAATCATGGATCTCTCAGCTGCGTTCACAAACA